TTTCTGTTGGTCTCTGTGAATGAGGTACAACAATTTGTGATGGCGATGAGCTGGGACTATAGTTGTGTGCTTGGATCTGTGTGATTGATTGATTGTGTGTTGTAGCTAGTCTCTTGTACGTGTATATGCTGTCTTACTAAGCTATGGAGACTTCCGCTAGCTTAAGTCTCTGGACTGCTATCTTGGGACCCCTGGTCCATGCACCCCCCTAAAAACGACCGGCGCCGCCCTCAACACCACTCTCGTCTATCTTCTCCTTTGTTTTCTCTATCTCTCTCTATCTTCTTTGTTGTTGTCTTTGTTGTCTTCTTTGTTGTCTTCTCCGTTGTCTTCTTCGACCTGTCTTGTTTCTTCTTCATCTGCGCTTCCTTTGTCTCTGATGTTTTCTTCGTTCTCCTTGTTGATTCTATCTTCTTTTAACTTCTTTTTGTGCGCTTCTTGATTCTTTGCTAGTTCTGTGCCTTGTCGCGGTGTGAACGCTCTCAATCTCCTGGCACTGAAGTCTCCTGGCAGTTGACTTCCTTCGAGACTTTCCAACGTGTATGAATTTAGTGCTTTTGCTCGCACTCTTCGCGGGATGGATCATTTTGGTATGAGTTTTCGCTCCGTTTTGAATGTATAATCTAGATCATTACGGTAGACTTGAACCAGTTGACCGATTTTGAATGTTACTTCACCTGGTGCCCGTTGTAGTACTCTTTTGTCGAATCTTGCTTTCCACTTGATGGCGTGTCGCACAATTTCGTCGTATCCGTCTAGTCTTTGCTGTTTGACATATGCTATTTGCGCTAGCGCTTCTGAGGTACGCAATGTTGATGTGCTTTCCTCTAGCATCGTTTGTGGCGTGTTGATGACGAGTCCCAGTAACAGTTCCTTCGGAGAAAATTTCAGCGCTGGCAGTAAACAATAATTAAGGGCGTGGACCGCATCATTGATGCGGTCTGGCCATGACTTAGACAGTTTATCCCATGTGATCTCTTGCTGCTGGTCTTCTCCTATCTCCGGCGCGCACAATCTCTTTAGTACATGTAGCAATAATTTGTTCATACCTTCTACTAACCCATTGACCCATGGTGAGTATGCTGCTACCGTGTGAAGTTTGCATTTTCTTGATTCGCAGAATGCTCGTACGGCGTCATTATTAAAATGTTTGCCTCCGTCTGCCATGAACATCTCTGATGTAGTAAACGCATTGAAAATGCTGGTTAGGCTGTCGATTGTGGTCTTTGCGCTGCCCGCTGACTTGTATTTGAAGACCCATGTATGCTGCGAGAATGTATCAAGATATACTCCGAGTGTACTGTATCCGTTTTTTCCTTTGGGCAAGGATAAGTAATCTCCTACTAGAAGTTCGAATGGGTGTCTCCTAGTTATGGGTTCAAATAGTGAGTGTATGTGCGTTGGGCCAAAATTTTTGCACTTAGCGCAATCTCTGATAGCTTCTAAAATTGATGCATCGAGTTTGGGGCTCCATATTTGATCGAGGAGTGCGATTTTGATCGCGTCCCTTCCCCAATGGCCTCCTTCTACGTGCGTTTTTGCTGCTAGTACTCTCGCTTCCTCTCTCGATATACACTCGATCCTCACTCTGGCTCTTGTTGTCGTTCCTCCATGTATTTTCCAAAGTTTTTCTTCTTCTATGATGTATTGCGATGCTCTGTGTCGTGCTTTCTTTTTCTCTCGTATGTCCTTGCTCTGATCTAGGTTGTATATCGCGTCTACCACTTCTAGAAAGACTGGTTCTTCTTTGAATCGTTTGCGGAGGTTTTTGATTTCTGCGCTGATTAGCTCTACACGCATGATATCATTGACTAACCCTGTTCTCGCTTCCCAGTCTTCCTGTACTGTCCACTCGCTCCCATCTCCTCTAATTGCTTGCGTGTTTTCCCATTTTCTGCTAAGGCCGTCAGCCACTACATTCAACTTACCTGGTATGTGTCTGATATCCACAATGTGGTATGCTAAAATCCCCTCTCTCCATCTAGCATGCGCTATGTTCACGTTTGGATTGAGCAACATGTCCTTCATTGTGCTACAATCCTTTTTGATTTCGATGGGAAATCCCCAAATGATGCTTGAAAATTTATCTAATCCGAATTTTAACGCTGCAAATTCTAACAGGTAGGATTTGTACTTCCTTTCTGTTGGTGATGTTCATTTTGACACGAAGCCTGGTGGATGCATTCATTCTATCCATTTTCCCACTGGTGTTTGTGTCCTTACTCTTTGCGATAGTACTGCTGCAAAACCTTCTAGGCACCTGTCTGATGTTACGACGAAGTGTGAGCCGTCATATCTTGGCACTTGTAATACTGGTCTTGATGTAATGGCTGTTTTGAGGTCTAAAGATGTGTTAGTGTGTTCCTGCTTCCAGATGGTACTTAGCTTAAAGCCGCTCATAGCTCGTCGGTATGTTCCTTTCGACATGGAGCTGTCTAACGGCACTTTGAGGAGTAAATTACGCAGCGGTCCTTCTCATTTCGCATATGCGCTTATTAGAGTGCAGTAAAATCCTGTAAGGCCTAAAAACAATGCTAGATTTTGTGCGTCTTGCGGTTGTGCCCAATCTACAATGGCTGTAAGCTTTGTTAGATCTGGTTTTACTCCGTCTCTCCCTATTGTCCCTCCTGCAAATTCGGTTTCCGCCATGCATAATTTGGTCTTGCTTGGTGCTATTGAGAATTGGCATTCTCGAAAGCACTTGAATAATACCATCAGCTTATCTATCATTTCTCTAAATGTACTTGCCGCACAACCTCCGTCATCCATGAACAGTTCCATGAAGTGCATAACCAGCAAATCGTGTAATCTTGTTGCTAACGCTTCACAGAACGCCGTTGGGGCTCCTGTGATTCCCATCGGCATTCTTCGGTACCAGAAATATCCGCGTCCTTCAATATAGAATGCTAGGTATGGACACCACTTTTCTGGTACTTCTATCACATAATATCCTGCTGCGAAGTCAAATATTGAAATGAAGTGGTGACCACTCAACCTTTGTTGTTTTGCTAGAATGTCTCCCTGCGGCATTGGCGCTACTTCCGTTACTTTGTTGAGCTGTGCAAAGTTCTGGCAGACTCTCCATTTCTTCAGGTTCTTCTCTGCTGCTTTGTCTGTTGTTGGCTGTGGTACTTCTCTAGGAGGTAATTCGAATGCTGGTTGTAGTCCCACTGTTCTATGCTGGTCATTAACTCGTTGCTTGAGTTCGTCCCATGATAAACCTCCTGCTTCGTGCGCTCTTTGGGCTATAACCATTGTGGCTGTGCATTTGATGAGTTCTGGTGGCGCTCTCTCTATTACTCCTGCCGCTAGCATTTCATTCACTCTTTCATTGTAGAATTGCGATTGTTCTGGTGTCAATGGGCGTTGGTGTATCCGCAAATTGAAGACTGCATTGTCCGGGATGTTTAGGTTCAGCTCTGCTCCTGGTATCGGGATTACTTCTTTCAACGCTAATGCGAAGTTGTCCGCGTTCTCTTTTACCAGTTGTTCTAGCTCCTCTCGCTCTTCTTTTGTTAAGTTGTCTCCAAAGGTTATCTGTCTTAAGATCTCTTTGACTCTTGCTGGATTGAAGGGATCTGTTTGACGGGTGTGTAATGTCGCGTTCCCTTTGCTCAGTCCTAACTCTGGGAGTTCTTCTAGAATTATGTCTTCTTCTTCTTGTTCTAATATCACGTCGACGTTCGTTGAATGTTCTATGATTGTCGGTGCATCAATTTTTTGTTTTCTTTCTGATATTGAATTCTGTTTGACTTCCCTCATGGGGAGCTTTTCGCTCCCCCCTGACGTTTCTTGCTTTGCTTTTTGCTTCTGCTCTCTCTTCTCTACTCTCCGCATTGTCGGCCTCCATTGTCCCATCAGTATACTTGACGGGCTTGTCATCTTCGATGGTATTTCTTCTCGTTGTTGTTTCTCGTCTAGCGCTAAATTGATTGTACCCTCTTGTTGTGTCATTCAGTGGTCTTCGACTTGGTTGTTTAGTTTCGCTCTGTGGACCCCGTTCGAAATTTTGATTTCGTCCGTCTTGTAGTCGTGAACTGCTGTGAATGCTTGAAGTGCTGGTTTTCCGAACAAAAAGCCCCAACTTCCTCCACTGTCGAAAACTTCGAATGTTCCTTCTGCTATAACTCCTTCGATCTTGATGTTTCCCATCCATTTCGCAATTGATTTGATGATATTCCCATCTGCCATTCGTAATAGTTTGTCTGATTGACCGTAGTTGTGTAGTCGGTGCTTAATCTTTTGGAATATCGATGTGCACATGACGCTAACCATTGCTCCATTGTCAAATAGTGCCCTAATCCTGATTATTTCTCCCTTGGGCCCTTCTAATTCGATCCGGTGTATAAATGGGACTGCTTCTCCGTTCTCCAGCTGTGTTTTTGTTACTTGTGGGTGTCCGACTGAGTAGAGGTCAATGATCTCGATTGTGTTGTGAGAATTGGTGATACATGTGACATCCTTAGCTACGGCTTCAGCATAGAGTTCGGGGCTAACAATCCTGTTCTTTTCCTCGCATCTCGCCTCTGCACATGCGAGGACTTCAACTCTGCCCTGTGTATTCTTGAGACTTCGGGTTGATGTATTGTTTTGATTTACGTCGACCCGTCCACTTTTCCCTGTTCTTCTGAAACTTCCTCGATCCATGCTGATGTCGTCTCGTGGTTTCCGTTGATGACTAGAAATATGGTTGTCGCTGTTGTTCAATTGAATGCGCCTAATACATTGCTTGTGATTGCTCGCCACGCTGCTTCTTTTTGTGAAAGCCTCTCTACATGATCCATTGGTAACACGCAGTTTTGACTGTTGTGCCCGTGCATTCTGCAGTTAAAACATTCGCTCAATGCGATAGCTGCTGTCCCCGGTTTGAGCGGGTACCCTGTTTCGTGCGATACTCTGGTGTTTTCGCCCCATTTCGCATTCCATTGTGCGATCTGCGTCGCATATGCTGCGTGACCTGTTGGCGTGTCTGGATGGTGCGTGAATGAGGAGACTAGCTGTCATGTTGCATTCTTCATCTCTTCCGTTATTATTAGCGGCTGTGGGTTTGTTGCTGGTTGACAACTGATGGTCTGTTGGGTAAACTGATTCATTTGTTGCGCTGGTGTACGCGTGATCGTGCTGTTGTTCGTTGTCATATTGTAAGGCTTTGGTGGGGCGATAGACATGCGAGAGAACTGGTTTTGGATTGCTGAGATGGGGTTTTGCGTGGTACTGCGTTGTTGTAATCGAGCTATGTCTGCGCGCAACTTGTTCACTTCACACTCTTGTTTGCTGTGCTGTTCCTTCTTCTCCAAGAGCCTATTACCCTTCAATTCTTTCACCTCTTTCGTAAACTCCGCCCAGTTTTTGTATTCGTCGTCCTTCAATAGATCTTTGATGACATTCGGTAATCCTCCTCTAACTTGCCATATCATCGCTGTGCTCACCTCTATTCCTGCACTCGTTGCTAGCTGCTGCGCTTTTGTTGCCCATGCCTCGTGTGACCAACATTCTCGGTCGTATAATGTGGTCTTGGTCCCCACGTCTGCATCTGTTAACCTGTGTTCTAGTAGCTTTCTCTCCTGATCTGCTTTTGTCTTCTTTGCTATCTCCATGGGAGGCCACCACATTTCGAACACTGTGACGAATGTCGTCCATGTTGCTGTTTGTGTCGTTGTGAGTCCTTTAAACCACACTTCCGCTTCTGACCCTGTACCCAGATAGTCGCCGAATGCTTCCAATTTGTTGTTACTGGCTATTGTCGCTTGCTCCTGCATGGCTCGATTAAACAATTTGAGAAAATCTGCTGGATTCTCTGATTTGCGTTCATCGCCATGAAAGATTTGGGGTGTTTCTGTGGGCATACTGTGCTTGGGTTCTGCGAGTGCGAAGAATGCACTGAGGTTGTAGTCTGGCGTTGTAGGTGTGGATGTGATTGGTTCCGCCTTTCTGTAGCGACTTGGTGTTTCACTTTCAAACTGAGATAGTTCGAGGTCTAGGTCTGGGATTTCTAGCTCAGGAGATGAAATAGTGCTGCACTTTTCTGCACTATCGAGGCTTGTTAGCAGTGAGCTGGGGGAATGTTCTGGCATGTCTAGTGGGGATGATGCTGTGGAAGTTTCTGTCGACCAATTGATTTTTAAATGTGCGTTGGTTATCGCTCGACCTGTTTCTGTTCTGGGCCTTAAGCTGCTGGGCATCAGTTTCTACTGGAATTCCACGTAAATAAGTGAGATAGAACACAGCCCTTTTCGAATGCACGCAGGTGTCTTGATAACACCTGCTGTCTATCTTGGTCTTTTTGGCGTAGTGCGACGTAATAGCGCTTGCTTGCTGCTTGCGCTTTTTTCTGCAAATAGTATTTCTGCTTGGTTTCTGCTTTTGCACGTTCTGATGCTGTGGCTAAGAACAAGGCTGAAGCTAAATTCCTGAATCCTGATCAATTGCTAATTGTTTCTAAAACGAGTTTGTTTTGAGTCAAGATCGCTCTGTTCACCAAGATGAGCTGGGACTATAGTCGTGTGCTTGGATCTGTGTGATTGATTGATTGTGTGTTGTAGCTAGTCTCTCATACGTGTATATGCTGTCTTACTAAGCTATGGAGACTTCCGCTAGCTTAAGTCTCTGGACTGCTATCTTGGAACCCCCGGTCCAGCGATTTGACCAACTTTCCAACTGCGAAAGAAAGGATGTTAGGTCTCTTCCTTGCACGCCTGGTTGTGTTGCGACCTGCCCTTCAGGAAGGACATGAAGCCTCATGAGGTAAGGGATAAGAAGTGAATTAAGCCAGGCAAAAGGGATGTTCAGCAAGAAGTTACTGCAACATATTCCGCGGTAGTTGGCAAGCAATGTCTTTGGTCCACGCTTGTAAATAGTGGTCATGTTGATTGGTTTAACCGAAGCTGGAAAATGTGAGTTGCAAATTTCATAATTAACTAACTGGAGCACAAGACGGAGTGCAGTGTCACTGAGCGACTTCACACACCACTTTTCCCACCTGTCAGGCCCAGGGCTTGGTTGAGGATTACCTTTGCGCAAAGTTGCACGCAGGGACTCGACTGTCATTACCACAGGCCAGGTGAAGGGGTCTTGTGATGTTCGCAACTTGATGGCTATCACCGATGGTGTTTCCATCCATGGCTTCTGTACTATGGGATGATCCTGACAAGTAAAAAGGTCAGTGAAATATGTCCGAGTCTCCCACTGGATGTCCTCGGATGACGTGAAGAATTTCAGTCGGTCTCCCAGATGAACGAGGGTGAGAGGCAGACCACCATGAGATTCCCATGGGTACAGGCTTTTTGCTGAAGATCCCATGAAACACAGCACAAATATGACCTTGTGCTGATTGTTGGGCTCGACTTTCGCAGTTCTTTCCATTCTTCAGTGTAACGAATGTGTGCGAGTGTGCGACACAGGGTCAGGAGATATTGTAGAAATTGAGGTGCACAGTCCCATTGAGCAATAAGAATGTGTCTGTGGGCATTAAGATAATTGAGAACCCAAGGTGCCTTAACAGCGAGCTCAGAGATGTGGTGAGCACAGTGTCGTGGCAATTAGGCGTCCTAACCTATGTCCCTCATGGACAAGGATACAGATGGTCGGATTGAGTATCTTGTGCGTGCCACCCTGTTTGCAGGTCAGCCATCGTGGCTGTTCAAAGTGAAGACTGGCAGCATCACAAATAATGTCAGTTAAAGCATGATACAGTGCATCAAAGGAAGAGTCATCAGCCACAGATGCATCAGAGAGCCCATGCAGAAGCAGTTAGTGATCCACTTCATTCGAGAAAGCAATAAAGCATGCACATTCGTGACATTTTGGGTACAAGGGCCGAAACATGTTGATTGGTGGAATTTGTTAGACTGGAAGGGAAAACCGGGTGTTGACCATCAGGGGCCAACAGAGACAATATTGCATGAATAGGCTGATGGTTGGTGCTTCCTATGAAGCAGTCGCCGATGACGTCGATCTCAGAGGATTGGACACTGTCTGTGGAATGCACAGCATGGTCGATAACAGATTGACTGAGGTGATTGTGAAAGGTGTACGTGAGCGCTGCATCCACATCATTTCGAGCATCCCACACGTCAACTGTATAACAGTCATGCAGGAATGTGCAATATTGAAGCTGTGCTTGAGAAAGTGAAGTGGACCGAGAAGAGGTTTTGGTGATATTAAGTGTAACATTGCAGTCTCCGATGAGAGACCAAGAGTAGGGAGATTGCTGGCAAAGTTTTGTGATTGATGGCCAAAATGCAGATGAGGACTGAGGATCAGGACCTGCTGCAGTGCCAGGGTCCCATGGGGCATAAACCCCAATGAGACAGTGAGGAAAACCACCATTAGTCATGGGTATGACCAAATCAACAGCAACAACTCTGCCAGTCAAGGACAAATCAAAGGAAGTGTCAACATGCTGAGCGTGAATGGTGTTAGAAATGCTATTAGTACAGCGAGAAGCTTATATAAGTGTCCCACTTTGTTGGCAGGGATTGCCCACCACCAATATGATGGGGCTCGCTTGAGGATGGGAATTTTAGGTAGGAATGTATTTTTTTTCCCAGTGTGGCTGTATCACTGATATGTCATCAGCAGGGCCTTAATACTTTTGTCATCCTGTTCCCCCTCAATCTCTACTGTCTATGCTCCTTTTTAAAAACCGAGTTATGTTCACACAGGCAGCAACCTTGAGATGGCATTCGTGCAGTACACATTCTCCCTTGAATATTTTTACACGCATTATTGGACTGGCTAGCAGTGCTAGTCACTCATTCCCTTAATTTCCTCAGCCTCACTCCTAAAGTTACTTGTTGATTGATTTTCCGTCATGCCAATGGTACCTTCTGATTACTTGTCCTCCACCTTAACAGCCTTGGGTATGTAATCACCTGCTCCTGGCAGTATTATGGATAACCATAGCTAACTGGAGACATGTGGTTATACTTCCCTGTCACTGGACCCTTGAGGATATCCTTCATTATCCATTATCTATTACCTTGCTCCTGCTGCTCTATACCCGTTGTCCCGCTTATATAATAGTTGATATTCTTGATCTCAATTGTGATCTCCTATGAGATCTGAACAATATATACAGCCACATTTTTCGCATTTTTAAAACTCAGCTATTCTTCTCATGTCAGGCCTCCCCACATTATTCCCACACATCACATGTTCGCATTTTTCAGCCACACAGTGTGGGAATTACCACACAACACCAAAAACATCGCCCATTTTGGGAATCTCCACAATATCAATTATTCCCACACCCTCCCCACCTCAGTGCAGCTTCACCACCACACCACAATAGGTCTCCCTTCATATATAAGTAGTAGTTTGGTATATATATGTATATTATAATATAATAGTCCGCTTTTTTTGTTTATTTCTGTGCCTGCTCCTCCTCCAGGGCCCTTTCAAAATAGCCTAGGGTACAGAACACTTACACACTTTTGCCCCTTTGATAGGGAAGTGTTCAGCACCCTACATCAATAGATATAGCTTATATACAGGAAAATACAAAATATGTTCCCATGTATGTATTTCTAGATAGATATACTTGGAAAAATTATCCCCAGCATCTATTAAACAGCAGGAACAATGTATCAGGAGTCCAGGACCATAGGATAAGATCCTGTGATGCAGTATACCTACCCTCTCCTGATGGTTTACCCCCTGTGAATTTTTTTCCTGTGGGACCGGAACTCAAGGATTGTAGGGGGTCTATTCTCATGCATATTTAGAAAATATGTAACACCTAGCTACTCCAGAATATTGACAGGATCCTTCTACAGGAACATAAACATTGACAATTGCACTTTTGACATTTTTGAAGTTTTTCAGTATCTTACCCTTGCATACATGATCACCCCTGCTCATATATCATCAGTAGCACATATATAAATGCATTTTATCCCAAGGATCAGCTCACAATAGGCCAGGGCTTTGAGTTAGTGTATATACTTGATATTTCTACTGATAAGGGGCCCTGTACCTTTGATTCATTAATGTTTATTAATCAGACACCTGGGATGCCTCTAATATATATCCCTAATTATAGATTTAACATTTTAGAAAGATTCATCAAGGATTGAGTGAATTACAAGCAAAATAACATATATGTGAAAAGTGACAATTGACATCTGTTCACACCTGAGACAGTACCAAGTTTGATAGAGGAGAATATTTGGTACATATGTGTCATATACCTGATCCGACCCCTCTGATATTAATATCCGCTCCACTTTCCGACCATCTCCGCTCCATCCATCCTCCGCTCCATCCAATCATCATCCACATCCACCCCTACGCTTCTGCTTGACCGCCCAACTGGTCCCCTTCCATAACATCTCCATTCAACTGGAACCTCTTTCCCCTTTTAGATATATACTTTCCCCTTCGGTACATAGACCCTTACTTCCAGATCACCGGTAATTCCTCTTACCGCTCTATCACTGATCCAACGCATACATATCGATATCCACTCTGACTTATGTCTTCGCCTGTGTAAAGTACTTACAAACTATATCCTTGGTACATAGTGTTACTACATAGTTATCCTGATCACTGCCTCATACCTAGAAGTATATAACATATCCTGTACTTAGATATTTTCCTCAGTCTTAATATTACTTGGCTTCTTGCAGTTACTACTTGTGAGAATTCTCAGTAGGACCTTGCCTCCTCCGGACACAAGTTTCATCTTGTTGTCACCTCCGACCCTCCGCTCTGACTTAGAGCCGTGCTCTAAGTCTTCTCCTTACTTCTCTGCCCCTATCAAGTATTCCCCCTGCTCCTTTCCACCCTTCACATTATCCTCTGCCTTCCCCGCTCCTATCAAGTATTCCCCCTGCTCCTCTCCACCCTCCATATTATCCTCCACCTTCTCCGCTCCGCTCCTAGTCGGCCCACCGCTAGTAGCTCTTATCTCCCGACTGTCAAAGTGGACCTAAGCGGACCACTCATCCTACCGTCAGACAATGTCAGATCTGCTCCAAATTTGGGGCACGTACTCGGCTAAGGGCGCAGTGCAAGAGCTGAAGCCAAGCCTCGACCCCTCTGCTTCCTGAGCTGGCACGGTACCTAACAATATGCTATAAAATATTTTAGATATTTCACCTAATATGTCAGTGAAACAAATAATGAGCAAATGTAAAATTAGATCTTGACTTTGATTGCCTGTCAAATTTGACTTCAATTGTTGAATCTATTGTCATTTATATTTAGAATATAAAGGGGGGCATCTATTTTAGCGACAGATGTATTGTCATATTGAAACTATAATGATAATATTTTATTTGTGCAGATTCAAAGTGTAATATTCTCAATTTGTTCTGTTATCGCCCAATAAGAACACTCCATTCCAAATATGTATGCCGCTCATATTTGTCAACAAGTTTTGAAATTGCTTACCTACAATATTCATGCACAAATGCTAAATATGTCACATATCTAAGGGCAAAGCAGTTTGAATTTCAAAATTTGAACACGTCATGCCATCAAATTTAGCATATTTTATATACAATTTGTATAAGTATCATATAATTCACAAATTTAAGGTCTGATATTGAATATACATTGTTGTCAAATGGTTCAAAATATGCACAATTTGTTTCCAAATTTATATTGCATCTGCCATTAAAACTTTTTGGGCCTTGACTCAGGTGTCACACAAAGTCACTTTTATATATGATACATGATAGACTACCTAAGGAACCTATACTACATACTGCCCTGAGGGCAGAGTGTTGATGGGGGGGATGTGGTGTAGAAGTGTTTGAATTGGTGGCCCATAGCAAAGTATACATCAACTGATCATTTTCGATGTTTTGAACTTCGGGACATTTAAAGTTTCCCACACTTGATTTCTTATTTATTTCACTTCCCCAGCTCTTGATTCTGGGTGGATCTTTCTGTATTTTTGAGTCCATGATACGGAATATATGTGAAATGTACTCCAGGTGTCTGATTATTAAACTTCGATGTTTCAAAAGTATGGGCCCCTTATCAGTAGAAATAGCAAGTATACACACTAGCTCAAAACTCCGGCCCATTTTAAACTGATCTTTGGTATACAAAGCATATATATACAACTGATGATATATGAGCAGGTTGGACCATGTGTGCAAGGGTGAGATATTGAAAAACATCAAAAATGTCGAAAATGTGATTTTACATATTTTGTTCCTGTTGAACGACCCTATAGGTTTCCTATGGTAGCTAGGTGATAGATATACTCTGAATATGCATAGGAATAGACTCCCCACCACTCTGAAGGTCCGACCCTACATGAAAATTTTCACAGGGGGTGAACCACCAGGAGAGGGAGGGTGCACTATGCAACAGGGGATTCTCCTATGGTCCTGGGCTCCTGATACATTGTTCCTGCTGTTTAATAGATGCTGGGGATAATTTTTCCAAGTATATCTATCTAGAAATACATACATGGGAACATATTTTGTATTTTCCTGTATATAAGCTATATCTATTGATGTAGGGTGCTGAACACTTCCCTATCAAAGGGGCAAAAGTGTGTAAGTGTTCTGTACCCTAGGCTATTTTGAAAGGGCCCTGGAGGAGGAGCAGGCACAGAAATAAACAAAAAAAGCGGACTATTATATTATAATATACATATATATACCAAACTACTACTTATATATGAAGGGAGACCTATTGTGGTGTGGTGGTGAAGCTGCACTGAGGTGGGGAGGGTGTGGGAATAATTGATATTGTGGAGATTCCCAAAATGGGCGATGTTTTTGGTGTTGTGTGGTAATTCCAACACTGTGTGGCTGAAAAATGCGAACATGTGGTGTGTGGGAATAATGTGGGGAGCCTGACATAAGGACTCATGTTGGTTCTTTTGATGGAATGATCAGATCTAGATTGCAGAGAAGCAGGGAGAGGGGCAGGATAAATTCAAAGCAGAAACAAGAGGGTGATGCAGCCCAGAAAGGGTAGGAACACACTAAATAGTATTGGCTGTCCCATTATCCATCATGGACAACCCCCAGAATGAGTAGAATCATGCCAAATTGAGTGTCTGGCAAATTATCCATTGTGGGAGCTGTAATGGATAATCTATCAAAGCATCAGTAGTCCATGACAAGGAAGTATAATGGGAAAATGGGTCATGGCAAGGGGTCGAGATTTGGGGGTCGCAAAACCATGCCAGGGGTCATCTCCTGTGTGGGTTTTGGCGGCATATTCCAATATGCCGTGTCCTTGATTTCACTTACTGAAGGCACTCACATAGAGCAACACCTCTTCTCAAGGTGATGTATTGTCTTTGGTCTAGTTTATGTAAATAACTACTTTGTTTCTATTATCCAGTTATTAGCCTAGTCCAGGCACTTGTGTCTCATTCTTCATCGACAATCCCGCCATCTGCGACTTTTACCTCCAGCAACCCGCATCTCTCGAAGATCCTGCCATCCATGACTTTTACCTCCAGTCACTCACACCTCTCAACAATCCCACCATCCGCAACTTTTACCTTTCTATTTTACAGGCATTACTAGTACTACTGTACTCCAGGTACCATATCTCACTCTTCATTCAACGATCCCACTGTCTGCGACTTTTACCTCCAGTCACATGGAGATCCGAGTAGTATATTATTAGTCACTTTATTGTTTGTATTACAGTAACATAATACCATATCCTTTGGACTCATTCACCCGCTTCGCCTGCCGCACACCTTCCAATATCTTCTTCGGCACATTCAAGCATGGCCTTGTGCATGGCCCTCAGCTACTTCCTCAGCCTCTTTAAAGCTATCCACATTCCTATAGACATCATGCACTATCTTCTCCTGAAAACCTGTCTCGTCTGCAAGCTGCTTCAACTTGCTTGTCAAACCCGATTTGTGCGAATTCCCCAATATCACAAACATGAATATCCGGATTGAAGAAAGCAACCACTTCAGATTCCAAACCCGTGCCAGTGGGCATAGTTCTAGTATTTTGGGCCTTGGTTTCTGAGTCCTGAGGCTGCAAGGGATTGCTTGTGCGAGCTGTGGACTGACAGTGCAAATGCATTATGTAGTTTATAATACTAAGGGGTCAGCTAGTTAGTAACTTTGGTTTTGCAAGTAGCAGTGGGCGCACCCTGAAAGCAGTGTGGTGAATATCGGCAATGTTAATGAGCTCTTGATGGTGACTTGGTGTAGCTGTTGCTGGGATGTATTGGTTCAAGTTGGATTCCGCTAGTAGTCACAGTAATCGGATAGTACACAAAACTTGAGAGGTTAGCATGGCCACAGTAGTATTTGAAAAATTCCACCCCCTAAAGTGTGGCTCCCTCTGAGTCTCTGTACCCTCACCCACTGGTGCTCTGCAGACATGTCTATCTTTGAGCCAAAAGTGGTCCTCACTCTCCTCAAAAATTCAACAGCTGTTCCACCCCTTGAGAAAAATACCTTTGAGAAACGCTGGGCTGTTAGCGTGAGTCCGACGTGCCGAGAAAAAGACAAAATCACTGACATAACACAGGTAGAAAGACGTGTCACATCATGGAAGGAGTCGCGAAGCCACAAGCAACATCCTTGTCCAGAGTTTCAGCTCAAATGGGAGGCTGAGGTGGTTGAGTATGTGCAGTGCCTGTGGAAGAAAACCCTGTGCACGATCCAAGAGGAACGACTCACCAAATACACTGGGCTTCAATGTCCCATTGCTTGGCCCTCGATTTCTGCCACCAACATATCTGCACACTTGTAAGTGTCCAGGCAATGGAGCAGTTGAACCAATGATACAATACCTGAAGCCATTCAACATTGTCCACCCTTTTTACATCCCACAGCTTGCACGATGCCCTTGATGTAGCTCCCAGGACAACATTATCTGGGAGGGCTGGACTAGCACTGGAGCTCGCGAGCTCCACAGACTGTACTGTGAAGAGCTGGCCCTGGGTGTGCAGTTGCGCTGCAATGTCTGCAAGGACAAGCAATCAGCCAAGGAGATGCCTGCTGGAAACTCACAGGGATTGACCGAATTGGACGGCTACTGCTTTGCAACGACAAGCGCTGCATACTGGAAGTCCTGGGAGCACTGGAAGATTCCACGTGAGCCATGCATATTTAATGCTACTATTGATGTTTATCTGACGTATTCGGCAGGAAGCGTACCTATTTTTTTCCACCACTGCACATTGACGCGTGACCTATTCGACCTCCTCATTGAGTTATGTCCATTCTCAACTTCTGCAGGCCTTGAAGAGCGTGTCTGGCGTAAGCATTTACTTTTAGTGACATACCGTGTTAGCACCTCACTGACAGACTCACCGGCATGCACAGAGCTTCACCTCCTCGAGCATAAGTGCAGGATGCTGGAGTACTTAGAGGCAGTTAGTACCCATGAACACGGAAGCAAGAATACACTTGGGAAATACTTCAATGAGCTATGGGGACAAACCAATCTCACACGAGACCATAACTGAGGTGTTTGTTGATTTTTCCACCCGCAGCAGAGAAAACGAAAGTGCAAAGTACTTAAAATCACTATCAGGTATATGTTAGAACTTGGGCAAACTCAGATATGAGAGTGCTTACCAAATCGGTTTGCATATCAGCAATTTGCGGTTCTCTGGACAACATGTTCAAGACAGCAAGCAAGGCAACTGTCACAAACAAGGATGGGCAAAAAGTGAAGGAGCTCAAGGGCGGACTACTGAGTGTCTTAAATGAAGATAATCAGATCATTTCTTGGGTCAGTCTGACTTCAATGATGGACTGACTGTGACTTCGCTGACATTTTTGCATTTCACTAGTGGTTCTGTCAGACGCGTACTAATGCAGAGATAGCAGAGTTACTGGAAGGCCTCAAGTGCCATCATGATGCCTTGAATGTCCCACAACCTGTAATGATGGTGGCCGATAACTGTTGTCAAGTACGGGGCGCAGTGGCATCTGCCATGCCTGAGACAGAGTCAAAGCTAGATGTGTGGCACTTTAGTGCAAGGTATGTATCTAGTACCTATGACCTTAGGCATGAAGTTAACCAGAGCCCCCCACCCACACTAAGATACATCGCTGCCATGTTAAATGCCAGCAAAAGCCCGTTTAGGAGTGCTGTTGCTGCTGATATTTTGGGTGCGATTCTCAAGAAGCATGCGGAACATGGGCAGCCTGCTGAATACTGGGATTGCATGGAACAAGAGCAGAAACTTACCACAGCATTTGATAAATGGGCAGCTAAAGGTGTTTGGTCAGTGGCTGCACAGAAGGTAAGCATGCATGCATTCAATCAGAGTGGATGTTGACCGGCATATTGCACTGCATTTCCAGGTTCACCAAGAACAACTCAAACACGTCCGAAAAGAGTGTCTTGAGCGCACTTTTCAGGGCATTAGGTCTGATGGGAGTCGTATCGAGGGCTCCCACAAGGGTTGGAACTCTTTACAGCGTGCCCAGCCGAGTGGCATCATGATGCTTTGCGCACTTGGTCACGACTTCGTTCTCCGTCAAAACACGAGGGTCGCTTTCAGTAGGTCTCAGACAACACCCTTCATCAAATTCACGCATGGCTCTCACCACATTCACCTGTCCAACCATGTCGCAAAGCTCTACAACAGCCTTCGGGAGAAGCACGCTGACCAATGTAGCACTCTGCTTGCTCTACCCGAACTTCCAGACGTGGAGTCTGGCAAAACCTTTGGTTTGGTCGCCTCGGAGAATGCAGCCACATTTGGTGGCCTGCTTGCAAAGGAAGAGACTGTCGAGATCGACCTCACGCAAGACTTTGAGGTCAGCGAGGATGGTCTTACTGGCGACACTGTAGATCTTGCCTTCCAGGCTAGCCGCAGCATTATCATCAATGAGTGGCAGATTGATCCAGCACTTCTCGAACAGCCAGCAGCTATGGTAAGCAGCATTGAATACTGTTGTGACACGCCACTGTTAACACAATTGTTTCAGATGGTTTCTAGCACTACTACACTGACCATGCCTTCTTCTCTTTTCTCCATCCAAACGAAAGGTCATTTCATTGGACTCAGATGATGAGGGGGACAGCAATAGTACTACTGCCAAGAAATTACAGACTCTGGTTCCTCCGAGCAGCAGTGTTCAACAGGCCCATAAAGTTCCTAGCACAGTCCAAAGCGCTGGGAAACTTGATGCCTACTTTTCCTCAGTGCGAGACGCAAAGGCACCTGGTCAACACTACACCCACAAGCTTCCTCCGGAATTCTCGCCATCTATGATCAAGTTTTTGTCATCCAACAACCTCCCTCCTGAGTTCTTGTCCAACATGGAGCTCTTGCTGTCTATGGCCAAGAGCCCTGAGGATCACCTGACGCTCATCAGCGCTGGGATCAACAACTCAATTACATCGGCGGGCCAGTTCTCATCCAAGAACCCTGAGGATCGCCTGGCACTCATCAGCACTGGAATCAACAACTCAATTGTGTCGGCAGGCCAGACCTGGTCTCAGCGTCTGTTCTCCATTTCCACTGGGATTGATCCCCGCTCACTGACCCTTTGTCATGAATTCCTAATATGAACCATTTTTCATTTCTTGGGTTTCCTTTGGCTACTTCCAGTACCCGAACCGGTCACATGACTCCTCACTATGTCACACCTTCACCTCTTCACATATCCCGTGTTTCTCCGATTGGCTCCCCTACTCCATGGGCTAGAACAATCTCGCTTCCCAAAGAAGAACTGGCCAGGAGCTTGGGTTTCTGTTTAGTTGCCGTCTTACTCAGTCACTTATATATCATGATGTCATACTTAGTCATCCGCAGTATCATACGACTCTTTTCTCATTGGCTGATTTCTTTCAAACTCCTATTCAATGTTATGTATAAAAGTAGGTTAGTTAGCATAAGTACTCCTTAGACTTAACCTCTTTGTTCTCTACTGTTGTAGTAGGCCTAGACATTCACGCTCAATACTATCCGTTCTCATCATCATCCTTGACCGAGTCCTAGTGGTTGTTGTCAGACTTTGCCATTTGGTGAACTCTGGTCATAACACCCTTCAGGATTCAGACGAGTTTTACTTGTTCATGGACATGCAGGGCTGAGTTCAAGTGGTTGTCATACCAGATGACTTCGAAGCGCTGGGCATTGGCGATGGAAGAGTACAACCACTGTCTCATGAAGAAAAAGGGCCAGTCAGTTGTCCAGAAGAATCCACAAGCTCTCCTATGTGTGCTGGGCGACATCGAGCCAAAGTTGATGAACAAGATCATCAAGAACAATTATACTTGTGAGCCTGTCCATCCCTCCATCTCTCTCGCTACTTTCTGATGTCTTGGGGAACACAGCGAAGAAAAACAATGAATTATTTTGGCACCGTCATTGCTCTGTCGTCCCACTCGTGAAAGAAGAGCGGGGGAAAAAGGTCTGTTGCCTGCGTCATTCGAACTAGTTTCACACTGACCATTGATGCCTTCCCTCCCAGCCTCGAAAGGCCCAGACTGTGCTCTCGTTGCCAGACCATCATGTACCCTGGACCCGAAAACTCCGCCCTCAACCACAAGAAGGGCTACTGTGCCGACAGTGTCAAGCAAGTGTTGAAGAACGGCGGAGAGGATCTGCCTCCTTGGCCTCAACCATGAGGAATCTTCACTGATGGCCGCACTTTCCACCCTCGCACATTCCTCTCAACTGTTCAGCGAGTCTATGAGCATGTATTCATGCAGGGACCGGGAGAGATGGACCTGCTTGAAACCGAAGCATTTGCCAAGTTGCTTGTCTCGTGCACCAAGGTCCACAACAACGGCACAGTCCTCTGCCGACTTTTCAAAGACTTTGTCATCAACCCATCTACACCCCACAACCGGATCATCACCCATGATGACAAGGAGTGGCTGATGATCAGTTACCTCCAGCAGCCCTGAGGCCTGTGCTGGAGATGTGTCTGCTTTCTCAGTGGTACAGATTTTTTCTCGCTAATTAGTTTCTACCGGTTCCGTTCGTTGTAAGTTAGCGCGCTCGTGTGTTTTCCGCATCCTTTATGTCCCCGCGTCTGTGTTTCCGTCGTTGGACACAATGCTATTTGACTCATTGACTCGTTGTTTATCGAGCCTCTCTGCCGCCTGTGAGTACTTGGGGGCGACAACTCGAACGTCTCTTCACGTGACCCCCAATGTCACGTGCCTTGCAAACGGTCCCAACGGTCGATCGGTCTTTGAAAAAACGGTCGACCGTTTGTAAGCCAGCCCTTGCCATGGCGCAGCTGCCGTATAACAAGTTGTGTCTAATTAGAGTCGGTTATCTATAATAATGACAGTATAGCCTGATGTAATCAATCTCATTGTTCAAAGCAACATCAGTTTTTCCTCCTTATTTCGGTTCTACCTGCACTCTCAGCGCTATGCTCGTCACTCTCGGTCTATTCAGCACATTCTTTCCTCAAGATTATATGCCCGGCGCAGCGTCAGTCTTGGCTGTGCCCACTAGGATCAATTTCCCTGTGGTGCATGCATGGGGGAGGTTTGATGTGATCTTATGTTTACCTGTCCCGAGTTTCACATCCTTCTCGCGCTTCTTGGTGTGATAATGGTTATTGTTCAATGGTGGTTGCCGATTTCCGAACGTCGGTCGTGGCATTACGGCGGAAGCAGGTAAATTTTACCTGCTTCAAACCTTTATCATCCTCGAACGTTTCAAGAGTCGCCGTAGCAAACAATATGTGGGCGGCCAGCCCAACTATCAATCTCTCCCCGGTCTCGGATACCATTGGTGTACTGCTGAGCATTGTAAGTGCCCAATTTTACATGCACTCATCGTGTCTGAGTATAATGGTAAATGTTCGCTTCAGCTCGCACGTTCACAAGTGATGGTATGTTACTTTTGTATGATGCATCAGATGCTATTTTATTGATGATGTGACCAGACTCCGGACCTCGAAACAACATACTCCCGAGCTAGTCGCTCCAACAGTAATACCAACTACTCTGTCACCGAGCTCAAAGACCACGGCATCAGCGCAATCATCGCCGTACGCCAGCAGCAGTTGGATGCGGTTTTGCACGACATGTCAGGCCTAGAAATGGTCATGGATAGTATCAAAAATCTTCACCAGCAACTTGTCGAAAAGAAGGACAAGATCATCCAGTCCATGAATTTGCACAGGAGACTTGTATCGGCTCTCTGGCGCTTGCCAGCAGAAATCCTATCCCACATTTTCGTTTACTGTCTCCCGGAATCCGAGCACTCCCCCCCATCAAAGCTAACAGCTCCCATGTTGTTGACCAGAATATGCCGACGATGGAGGGAGGTTGCTGTGGCCATGCCCATTTTATGGTGCAGGTTGCGGTTGCAAGTCGACGAAGAAGACTGGCAGCAGCAAGCTTTCCGCTTCGACTTGTGGTTGAAGCGAACCCGAGGACGTCCGCTTTCGTTGACACTCAGGTGCGATGCAGGTGAACCGACCAAGTTACGAAAGCTCCTTCAACCTTACATGAGCCAGATCTCGTCTCTCTCCATCCGATTTTATCACGGCTCCGACAAACCTGACATCATGTTAGCAGACCTCCCAACACTTCGGGAGCTCAACATATGCATCAGGTACAGACCTGACTGTACACCCACTATTGCACACTCTATCTCGCAACTGCCGTCCACTCTGCGCAGTCTCAAGGTCATGGGGCCGATCTTCGACCTCGAAATCTTATCTTCCTTTAATCCCGTATGGGCCCACCTGACAAATATCGAGATCTCCACGCGTCATCCGAATGTATTCCTCCAGTTGCTCAATCTATGTCCTGACCTCTCCTCGATAACGATTCGCGAAGGATTCGATCATAAACAGGCCTTAGAGCCATTCACGCACACCAAACTTCAATCCTTACGCATCAATCATCACTATGCGCGAACAAATCATTTATCTGACCTGTTCGATGCTCTATCACTCCCCAATCTACTCATGCTCGAAGTTCGCTATATACAACCGTGGCCTCATGAGGAGTTCAAGGCGTTTTTGACGCGGTCAAATTGTCCCCTAGAGAGCCTGATTTTTGGCGCTGGAGCAATGACGACAAGTGAGCAGCGAGCTGAATACGTTGCTCTTATTCGTTCCCTCGAAGTAACAGTGGACCCCACGCGTCGTCATTGCTTTGATTGAAGCAGACCTAGTCGCTACGTATTTAGCAAAATGATGATATGGACTTTACGGACTCGCTCGTGCAAAGGGTTACACATACATTGTGTATCTTATGCTACTGGTACTGTATGCTTACCAGCCTCAACCTACAGGAGATTGCAATGCCGGGGACAAAGCGTTGTCATGGAAATTTTCATGTTCCATCGACTACGGTTGGCCCGCTGTTTGTCCAGTTCTCTCCTTGTATATGTAGAGGGCTGTGATATGTTACATATCCCAGAACAAGATGGAACAGACAAAGAGGTCCACGAGGATATATATGTGTAGAAAATGAATGCCCGCGTGTGATCATCTCCAGGATGTCATCGGGAGCAGGTTCGGAGACTGCGCTAGGGAAACAGGTTACTATTAGAATAAGTACGTTGAGTTATTGAGGGATCCTGGACCGCCAGGATGATAGGGGGGCAGGTAGGTGTCAACTCGAATGCATGCTAAGTCACTGAAAGGGGGACGAGTTGAACGGCCTCCGGCGCAGCCAATCCGAGGGTCAAGGTTCATAGGTTAGTGGAAGCCTTCCGAACCAGTCGATGGAGGGGTGCAGGTGCCACGACCGTCCCACATACGCATATCTCATCACCGTGCCAACAAGCCTGTCGATATGTGCCTGACTTCCATAAAGCGGGAGTCGAAGAGAAGAATATAAGGCCCATACCTTGCATACGCCCAGCTGTGCCCCACTCAACGATGCTTGTATTGCGACTAGGTGGGCCATGTTTGCGTCATTCTAGGCTCTGCTGACATCAGCATTGAAAATCAAAATGACCGACCGTCGTAACACAAAAGGAATCCATTTGGATGATCGACATTTGCTTACGCTGCCAAATATACATGGCTTCTACCAATCGCCTGTTGTATTCTCGAAGATCCAGGATATTTCTATAAACATCCTTAATGAACCCATAGCTTGTCGGGCAGCATGACAGGTGGATTTACTTTCAGCAGTGGCCAGGTGGACAGCTACAGGAAGAAAATTAGCTGGTTCAATGCTGTCAAGCCGCATGATGTATTGACCACCTCCACAACGTCCAGGTCTTGGACGTATTGCTCCTCCTGAGTGGTGGTTTTGATGCTAGCGTGATCCTCAGTATGGCACCATGCAAAATAACTCGATTTTGAGACAGGTGATGACGATGAGGCGTTTCTTGTGTTTGCCTATGCCGAGTTTCACCTCCTTCTCGCGCTTCTTGTTGTCTGCACGAGGAGGTGGGGGCAGCTCCTCTCCCGGGTCTCATGCGCATCTACGGGCAGGCTCTCACCACACGTCCTATCTTGGTGACTCTCCACACCTCGCGGGTATGTTTAATGTCTTGGGCCTGATCAACGACGTTGCATACCCTGGAGGAATCGGGGCGAAAGGGAGGCGGAGGGGGTGACTCTGATTAAATTCGGGTGCGTCAGTAGGCAAGAAGTGAATTTGGGATGGAAAGAAACACACCGTTCACGAGAATCAGGCTTTGCATATTCAATATACACGGAGCTTACTTTCCGCGCTGTCCCACTGAGTACTCGCGCCTGTCAAATATCAAATACATGATTACGATAGGGAAACAGTCACAGCTCGAGATGTCTGTTCTGCGCCCTCCATCGTCGCGTACATGAAAGGCCTCAGTTGGCCTAGTGCATTGAAACATCGAGCGAGATTACACTTGCACAGCGGCAGCGCTGCTGAGTACTGTGACCACTACTACTGTTGCCCTTGCAATGAAGCGCTGCATCACAAGGTCAATAGTAGTCTCTGTTACTCTCTGTCGATATATTCGTCAAGTCAGTAGGTGTGCATACGGTAGCAGTTGGGCATCTGGAATGAGTAAGTGTTGTGTGATTACGGAAGCGGAGATCTAATTTGCCTGCTTCGATATCGCTACGGAGCTTCACGCGGTGTAAACTTCATTCTGAACATTTCAACATTGCTCGCCTTAGCAAACAACATGCGCACAGTCAGCTCAACAGTCGATCTCTCCCGTGCCGCCGATATCAGTCAAATTGTCGCCTGGAGAGTCTTATTTTAGGCGCCGGAGTGACGACGTCAGATGAGCAGCGAGCGGAATATGTTGCCCTTATTTCTTCCCTCGAAGCAGTAATGGATCCCATGTGTTGTGATCGCCCTACTTAAACAGGATTGCAAAGGGCTATACTCTGTGTGTTTTATGCTACTAGTAGAGTGTGTGCCATCCTCGTAGTACATTCTTCTTCACAGCCCTAATGTCGGTGGCTTATTCTTCGTCTTCGACAGGACCAACACCATACATATAAATAATATCAAGCAGCCAACGAGTGATCCACAATCACCGTTCGTATCCTAGCGATGCCGACATACAACACATACGACGCGATCTTCCTCCTGCGATCGTTCAGTCTTACGAGCACCCTTAGAGCAGGTACCGTGCGGGTTTTTGCCGGGTGCGGGTGCGGGTATGGCTTCTGGTACCCGGGGGGGTTACCCGTGCTGATCCCTACTTGAAATGCACGCTGAGCCACGTGCTAGGGAGCCGAGTCGAATAGAGGGGCGAGTGTTTCCGACCTCCGTCGCAGAGGAAATCACCGCAAGGAAAGTATCTATAGGTTACAATCAAGTTGAAACTGATAAGCATGCAAATCAGCATACCATTTTCGACCGAGATGAGACCAAGGCAGCCTTTAATGACGCGGCTGGTCAGTCTCACAGCACTGGTGAGATTGACCTCATCTTTCGGCAGGAACTCCACGATAACCTGTGCTGGATTGGTTTCTGCAGCACGAAATACGAGAGCCCGTTACGGCCGTCCTTTCCGTTCGTTATGCGATCCAGTTACCAGGTACAGCGTACGAAGGGTTGTGACTTAAGCAAAGATGCATAGCATCGGGTAGCAGGCTGGTGAGAGCAGTGGACAGAAACAATCGTGTTGCAGTGCCCGTAGTGCTGCCTTGCCGATCTGTTGTATGAGCACTACAACACTGTTCTGGCCGCTTCTGTATAGACCTGGTCAAGACCTGGTTGACAACTTGAGACTGACATATGAAGACACTTCCAACTTCCGAGTCCGACATGTTTGTTTGGCAAAAGCACCCTTGCATCCAAACAACCTGTTTGGTCTCTGACTCCCTGTTATTTGCGGCTGCTAATCTCGCCATGACTCTGTGCATAAGCCAATCTAGGCGATTTTACACCGGAAAGCTCGTCGTTGTGGTGAGTGACTCGTCGTTAACTGAATGCCTCATTGACACTGTCACTCGAGACGCTCGACTTGCGATAGTTGAGCAAGAGCTTGGCGCTTCACTTCAAGTGAGATTGCTCATACGGGGCAAAATTGACGTACGAAACCAGAAGGTCAGGACCCAGTTGGCAGTGTTAAATGCACAGTCGGAGTCTCGGTGTCCCACAGCAGCGCGTTAAAAACGGATGCGTAGTAAATGACTCGCCATCGGTTCCCACCGTCACCGTAGCTGGCGGCCGAAAGTCGAACGTGTCAATATCAGAGTTGTTCGCGTGAGTGCGGCAGTCTACCGGGGACACGTATTGAACACTCCTTCGAACGTGTCGCAAGAGTCGAATACTTAATAAAGGGCGTCTTGTGGATGATTAGATCCCTACAGAACTTCTTTCAAATAACATGGGACTTGCTATCTCTCACATTTTTTCAGGGTTATTCACCCAACAGGAGACGAGTGAGTGTCAGCCACTTGCGATTCAAACAGGCTGATTGACATATCCTACAGGACTGGTGATGGTATTGTCCTGAGCAAGATGATGTCGAGACAAGTACTCACTAGGATCCATAGATCGGACTCGACGCTGCGGGGAAGACAACGATCCTCTACAAGCTCAAGCTTGGCGAGGTCGTCGCGACCATTCCTACAATAGGTAGACGAATTAGCGTGACTTACCCTGCTTATTTAACACGTAAATGCAGGATTTAACGTGGAGACTGTCGAGTACAAGAATATCGCGTTTACCGTGTGGGACGTCGGAGGCCAGTATAAGATTCGTCGTCTCTGGCAGTATTGTAGGGCATTCACTCCATGATCATGCAAATATTCTCTCATCCAATCTAGACTTTCACAATACGCAGGCCGTCATTTTTGTGGTCGACTCCAGCGATCATGATCGCATCGCAGAAGCGAAAGAGGAGCTCCGCGTGCTGATGGATAACGAGCAACTACGAGATGCGCTTTTGCTCGTGTTTGCGAATAAGCAGGACCTACCTGGCGCTATGAGCGCGAGTGAACTCACCGATGGACTGGATTTGCGGACGTTCAGACAGAGAACGTGGTATATACAGGTGCGCCTTCCTTGTGCATGCGGCTGTCCTGCTCTGATGTGCGACAGTCGACTTGCGCAACTTCAGGTGAAGGCCTGTACGAAGGTCTAGAATGGTTGGCAACCAATATTAAGAAGCGTCGTTGGCAGATTAAGTCAAGCCTGCTTCTAGGTGTTGAGCCTTGCATCCAAACGACCGTTTGGTCTCCCTAGGAGTACCGGTCTATTATGTCCTATATGTTCTATTATATGTATATAACCTATAATACTACTTACCTACTAGCTGTACTTGACTGTGGTGTGATGGTGAGCCAGGGATGGACTGAGGAGGGTGTGGGAAAGGTTCATATTGTGGAGATGCCCAAAATGGGCTATGTTTTGGGTGTTGTGGAGAAATTCCCATGGCAGATGACTAAAAGTGCGAACATGTGACACTGTAAATGACTGTCCTAGGGCACAAAATGAGGATCCACACTGATGTATCAGCCAGTGCTGGTATCTGCTGGGAGGATCTGTAGTGATACATCACTCCCAGAGACTGACTGCCTACAACATTTATGTATCACCATTACATGACAATTGTCGTGGTTGATATATCAGAATGACAGGATGGGGTGGTCAAGCCTGCTTCTAGGTGTTGAGCCTTGCATCCAAACAACTATTCGGTCTCCCTAGGGTTCTAGCTACTAGAGTCTATTAAATCATGTGGTGAATAAAGTTGCTTGAAAATAAAGAGTAACGAATGCGGCATATGAAATGATGTAACTACAATCCGTACGACGGTACGGAAATCCACGAAGCTGAACCCTTCCTATGGTCATCTAAGCTGCAATGAGTAGATTATATCATTATGCCGCCGGTCTCAGAGCTCTCAGTCTTTCCGCTAGTTTAATCGTCTTCCTAGCCAATGCTCTTTTTGTAGTCAGAGATGGAACACCAGATAGATCTTTCACTGCGAGATCGTGCTGCAGTTCTATGTTGGACCTCTTCCGCCATCTGCCGCATGAGAGTGTCTACTTGGGTCGATACGGTTACTTGATATTGCATTCTCCATGTAAGACGTCTGGACGTCCAGGTCGGAGAATTGTGATTCGAACTTGTCCAGTCACAAGCGAAATCTATGGCATCATTCGAAAGAGATCATGATATCGTTCGGGGCATGTGACATCATTTACTCATCCGTTCAAGATTCATGTTATCCATTGCTTTGTCCATGCCCTTGACCACGGAGGTCATGTTCTCAGTCACCTGTCTTATCGTGACGGCAGTCTCCACTCGACTTGCGACGGCATCTAACTGGCTAGATAGTAGTAACAAGTTCAGAGCCTTTAACTTCTTGCGAATGGCATTCGAGGCATATATACACGCGCCATCAGTATTTCTTGCTGTAACGCCTGAAGTTACCCATCAGATTGCTGTGCGTTTGAAACAGAACGACGGTGCGAAATAACCTTCTTACTAAGACGAGCAGGTGCCACGACCGTCCCACATACAGCGCATCTCGTGAGTCGTCTCCGTGCAAGTAAAAGGCCGGGCCTGTCTATATGTGCCGGACTTCAATAAAACAGGAGTCGAAGAGAATGATATAAGGCCAGTGCATTGCCATACGCACAACCGTGTTCAATGGTGCCTGTGTTGCGACCAGGTGCGCCATGTTAACTTTGCGTCATTCTAGGCTCTTGCGCAGTTAGCATTGACTGAAGGTCAAATCAGAACGACCGGCCATCATAGTACAAAATGAATTCATTTTCCACTCGGAACGTCCCCATTGGTGATCTTAACATATGAACATGGAAAATGACTTATTAATGACCATTGGCCGCATACCCCATACAATCGGAACCCCTCTGAACGTGCAGGCCGTATACGAAAGCGAGAGGTGAACGCTTGAACGACGCAGGCGTCTTGTTCCATTCATTGATCAGTATGTGATGTACTAAAAACTCTCTTGGATACTTACAACAGACTTATTTAACGGGCGTGAACTACATATTCGAGTCAGCACCAGAGCTGAACTTTCTGTTTCGCTGATTGAATTTCTGGTTCAGTCTCGTTGCACAAAGCCTTTATGGTTTCCAAGATCTGAGGCATCGCTTCACGATCCTCGTGGCCACCGGGTGTCTCGTTCATGATGCCCTTCAAAAGCAGTTCGTACCGGCTGCATGACCGTTAGTAAGATAAAGTTAAGCAAATAAACAAGTTTCACGTCAACAACCGCCTTGAATGCCAAGTTGTTGGCCATCTCGTCATCGAAGCGATAGGCAGCGATATGGTAGTTCGGGATCTATTTCATATACGCATACCTGAGGTTCAGAGCAGTATCAAACATGGGTGCTGTGATACTCCTCCTGTATTTCATGCAGTTGGTCCAGTGGCTTCCGATGACGCGACGAAAGATCCAGGGTACCATATATTTATATTTACACTAGACACACCGTAAACACCGCATCTACTGTCTAACATATATGAAGGACTTCGCCCCAATGGGCAATAAACTATGATTCAAAATAAAGCTGACGGGAAGACCACAAATGTACACTGGCATGTGTTCGCGTACTTTTCCTTATGGAGGGGCTAAGTACACCTCATCAAGAAGTACCAGATAATGGAGGGGGACCGCGAATGAGTGCTCCACCAAAAAGCCTTTTTGGACGAGTGTACACCCAGCGTCCACACCAGAGCTGTGGCCCATAGGCAGCTCGACATAATGTATGGATTTTCGATGAAAGACAACATGACAAGCATGTGACAGGCCGTCAATACGAGCTTCGTCTTGACGACGGATCCGATAAGGATGGGTATGGTAGGGACGCCGGTCTTCAGGTCGTCTTCGAAATCACGGACGTCAGTCATAACCTATAGACATAGTTTCAGGTCAAATCCTGCCGGTCACCATACGCTGCCTACGTACTGCATGACATGCGCGGTTCACGGTCGACCAGACTATCAGTTGAGAATTAGTCCATGGGGACGGTAGTGCGCTATTCAGATTTCCTGATCCGGACAACACGGTCTGGACAACGATGTAGGTGCCACATCTAAAAAAACATTGGTTTACAGGCCGCATCGGTTCATAGTGAACATCCAAACGTACCCTCGAATGATACCATTAAAAATTGCTTTCATGCCAGGGATGCGTTTGATAACAAGAGGGGACGCGGGTGTAGGAGGCTGATGCTTGTCTTCATTCAAAATCAGTTTAAACTTCTCGAGGTTGATCTGAGTAGTCCAGAGCAAAGCAGGAACCACGAACGCTGCCGTGGCGAGGAGCGTCCACATTGAGCATAGCAATAGTGTCAGCCCAAGAACCACAGCACTGAAGGCAAGGAAGGTTCGTGCACATGCAAACAAAGAGGTGAGGTATCGGTCGTTTGCGTCCTTGTGATGAGATGAAAATTCGTCCTCTTGGTCCTTAAGATGGTCAATGCCAATGGCAAGAATATCCGACGTCACACAGATGGTTATCTGCGAACATAATCAAGTCAGTAATATTCGCTGGTATTGAATCGGTGGGCATACCGGCCTCCAGTCGAGCTGTCCATTGGCAGACATGAGAAAGGACAGAAGGAATGTCTGGACTAAGCTGTTCGTCGCTATCATAATGGGTTGCAGGAAGAGCGACTCTGCAAGTTTTGGGATCGTAAGGATCGGCATGTTAGCTTGAGCCTGACGAATAGGTAAATGCCACTCTACCGCTTTTTATACAGGGGCGACCGAGTTCCGGCACGCGAGATAGAAAACTCTGATACCTTCAAATCAAAATTCAATCCGCCTTATTTTCGCCAGCTATCAGAGCGAGGAGAAGGCGCATAAATGGTTCTAGAATCAGAGTCCAGCCGCACCCATATTGAGTCCTAGGTTCATAGCTGGTTAAGGAGCATGCTTCCATTATATATAACCTTGAAGGTGGGGTGTACTCGCTTCATAAACGAAGGTCAGGAGGTTGTCAGAAAAGCTGTATTCTCACCTTCAGGGATCCTGAAATGAAGCTCCCTCATAATGGTTATCTCGGGCTCTGATAAGGATAGGTAAACATCACAAGCATTGAATTTTCATGGGGGAACTTATGGACACTGCAGAGCGGGACATAATATGCAGTGTGACTGTGTCGTATTTGTGTGGTTGCATAGCACTCATGAAGGTGATCTGTATAGCAGTATACACAGGTAGGTACCCGTGAGCTCTGCGGCACTTATGCCTGTTGTAACATCCTCAATGATTTTCGGTGGCACTGAAGTCCCGAAGCTTCGGTCATTCTGCCATCGTGTGGCTTCTTGGGCGATAGTGGGAAGGAGCCTGTTTTCCTGATAACCTAAAAGATCGATAGAACGGACGAGTCTGTGTCCAACATATTCCGATTCGAGCTCCAAAGGTCTGGTACAAAAAAAGACCCTCGGTTTACGGGCAGAAGTGCAAGTAGAGCGCGTGTAACAAGAACGAGACTGATTACCCTGACTAGTGGTGTCCTTTTGGCGTCCTTGCTTGTCATGGATCGGGGTTTGAAAACGGACGCGAGATCGGGATTTAAAATATAAGGACGCGATTAGTCAGGGTAATCAGTCACGCCTTTTCCAGCCAGCCCCTGCAGCAGCGAGACTTAATTTTCGAACGTGCTCATACGCATTGACAAAAGCTATACTAGAAAGAAGGCTAGTAGCGAATAGGCATCTTCCACTTGCTCGCGTCCTGTCCGTTATCTGACATTCATATGAGCTACGTATCATGCCGTAGACTTGGCGCTGGGCGGCGTTTTGAGCATCAACCACGATGACAATGTCGGGTCCTTGTGACACGCGCTCCACTTGAACTTCTGCCCGTAACCCGAGGCTCTTTTTAGATCTTTGGCGTTCGAATATGCTGGACATAATCAGGGTATCTCAGAATGGAAAAATTCAAACTGTATTGAACCTTAGCATCCTCAGGGTATAGTAAGAACTTTGTCACCTCGTCGAGATTGTAAGGTAACAGTATACAAGATTACGATTAACGGTTTTAATTGACCGACTACGCTATTGATGTAACTCAGGTACTACTTAGTATAGTAGTAAGGATCTCGTCAGCTCGTCAAGTAAGTAAGGTGATAGATGTGACAGCTATGCATGGGGACAGGAGGTACGTTTAGATGAGGTGGCAATTGATAGGTGTGCTGCCCTGTTCCAACCGGTGGGTTGACTGAATGCCTGTAAATCCCCCATATTTGCGCTGCCAAATGGATGCTCGCAACATGCCACACATCTTCCCACTGCCAGTGCCTGCGGTTATAATAGTGTCTCGACCATTCAGGGTTGTGAGCACAGCTTTGAGTTGGAATTGACGCGGAACCATGACTGTTGCCGTCAGAACATAGATGTATAGGCTGGTTATGACTCATGGCCGGAGTGTCTAGAGCGCGTGTCACAGGGACGCGAACTACCCTGAGTAACGCGTCCTTATATATTTCAAACCCCGATCAATGACGAGTGCGCATTGAGGGGGTATCTCAGAATGGACAAATTCAAACTGTATTGGCCATTGAACGGTTCAGACTACCTCGGCAGAAATTAACGTTGCAGGTACTACGTTAGACTCGTGACCGGTCCTAACAGGTTAAACCTATGAGGCAAGCCGTCGATGGACGGACTGGTAAAACTGCGTCTAAAAAGCCGACTCGGTCGAAGCTCCTCTCTCAAAGTGCTTTTGAGCAGTTCGCTTTTGGTTTAGTTTGCCTTCGTAAGCACACATTTTTGGTTATGTGTTCAGCATCTCCACCAATCGCATGAGTGCGCTACTGAAGTCGTAAGCGTTCATTTTGCAGATGGGCCCTACTGTCATATAAATAGATTCAAATATTACTATTTACTATAGTCTCCTTGAATAATGGATAGCATCTTTCACTCTACTTATCCGCTGTCGAAGGGGATGAAGTTCCCCGAGTACATCCAAAGGCAAATATGCTTTTAACCTTATTTGGGTGGGTCAAATGCTATACATATCTGTCTGATGCCTCCCTTGGTGCCTGTACCCAGCGGCTGGTAAATTGATATTCAGATCTCATATTCCATACATAGAAATCCGTCACAGGTATACTTATATCCAACCCCTAGCATCTGAGAGAGCCTGACAATTTGAAGTGTTTCCCTAGCTTAAGCGAGCGCTCTCATTGGTGGAGAGGACTACTAGCCCGAGTGTACGATAGAGGTTACTGGCCTAGTCCAAACGGGGAGTGCAGTTTGGATCAAACTGGCGCGCTTATGTAGCTTTGTAGACGCGTGTCATAACACACATTATATTCTTACAGTCAGCCAATTAAATCGATGTTCAGTAAGCCAATTTAATAAAATCGTTCGTTGTTCATCAAATTCGGTTAGCAGTTCATTCAGAACTGCTGATACTTGAGTACTCATAGCGAAGTATCTTGCAAACTCACTCCACAACTGGACATCACCATAGCCTTGATTTCGTTACGTTACGTACTCGCTACTTAGCCGTAACATTCCCCTTCCACCAGATCCGGACTAGGCTACCGGCCATTGGGCCTGGTGAATGTTGTTAGATATAGAGCGTGCAGAGAATCCGAGTAGAAGCCCGGACAACATATATAAATTGTCGGGCAGGGTCGAGGTAAACTTGTGTGACCCATTCTACCCATGAAGATGCTACTACTCTCTGCTAGTACTAGTATATTCATCGCGCTTCTTGCAGGCATTGGGGGACTTGCGGCTTCCTCAAGTTTGCTTGGTGTCGGGAATACACTTCGTGACACCACTGCTTGTGCGGAGATCGCGGCTTCCATCTCTTTGAAGTCCGCTGTTTATTATAATGGTATGTACTAGTTAGTACTTGGGCTAAGTGTGAATGAGGCTAAACACCGACAGGATCGGACCTCTATACAAAGGATAATTATCATTGGGCATCTTCGAGTACTCAAGTCTCCGCTTGCACCTTTGAACCTGGGACCACCGAGGACCTCGTTAAAGCGGTTCGTGTTGCTGAAATAAAGACCTCATACTAGATTAATCTCATCTCATACCACAGATTCAAATATTGGGAGCAACTAGGACGCCGTTTGGAGTGAGTAATGACTTCTTCAGCTTGTGCTTTTATCTTACGCAGGTACCAAATAGGTTAAAAGCGGTGGTCACACGACCAACCCAGGCTTTTCGTCGACCCCAGGCGTTCAAATCGCCATGTATTTATTCTCGGACATTACGTATGACTCGGATTCCCAGACAGCAAAAGTTGGCACTGGTGCGATATGGGATGACGTCTATTTAACACTGGAAGAATACGGCGTGAATGTTCTAGGGGGGAAAGTCACTGGCGTCGGAGTTGGCGGCGTCATACTTGGTGGAGGTATGAACATCCCCAGATGATTCAAACGTGATTTAACATTCGTCATTTGATCAGGATTTTCGTATCTGACAAACCAGCATGGGCTGGCAATCGACAACGTGGTATCATTCGAGCTTATTTTGCCTAATGGCACCGTCACTACAGTCACCAGCTCCAGCAACCCAGATTTGTACTTCGGCTTGCGGGTACGTTTTTCGTCATCTAGATTGTCAATATTTAGAATTCTCATGCCACTGTGAAGGGAGGTTTTAATAACTTTGTGCGTGCTCTCTGAAGAAGTACCGTATGAAACCATGTACTAATTCCCTTATAGGGAATTGTTACCTATTTCACTCTCAAAACTTATCCTCAATCTCAAATTTGGGTGAGACATCATACCACAGCGTATCGTGCAGCACGGTGACGACTATCAATAGGGTGGAAGTCTCGCATATAGTCAAGATCAAGTCGAAGCAGTAAACGCTGCCGTCGCCAAATTCGTTGCGAACGTTGCAGACCCCAAGGCATCGATATATTCCACATATAACTATGTCTCTGGATCGGTGAGTATATTCCAAATGCAATCTACGTAGGATCGCAAGTTAACGCAAGTACTGTTGTGTAGCCCGTCCTATCGTCTTCGTTGTTCTATGATGCACCCACTGCCCCAGATGGTATGTTCGATGACTTCTTGGCGATCTCAAACATCGGGGAAGACATTTCTACCCGGTCCTTCTCGTCCATGATCGATGTTGAGCCGGTGAATAACACAATTGGCCTTAGGTAAATTTCTAGTTTTATGCCCGGCGTATACTCACTGCGAAACAGAGCTGTGTTCAATGCCATAGCGATCGAGGAGTGGACGGAACCCTTGTTGAGCGCCGTTGCCAATGAGACCCTCGTGAGCATCGCCTGTTTTGAATTGGGTCGTCTACTGACACGAGCGGCTAGTTCTACGGAAACAAGCTGGCAAATAGTAGCGTGGTTGAGATCACTTACAACGCGAGGGCCTACCTTCCTTCTATCTTCAGCCACTCCGATATACCATCTGCGTATCCGGATTCACGTGCACGAGGCTACTCATACCTGGAGGTATTCTATGCATGGAAGGATTCAAAAGACGACGACTTCTTCTATGACATCGTTGCTACCAGTTCCGGTCATATGGTGTCGCTAGCGGTCGCTGCAGGGCAAGACGTTGCGAATGTGGTTGTGTATCCCAATAATGCACAACCTTCCACACCCATAGAGGATCTCTACGGGACGAATCTTCCGCGTCTGCGGGATATAAAGGCGGCTATTGATCCAGACAATGTGATGGGACTCGCCGGAGGGTGGAAAGTATAAACGGGAAACGCACGGTACACACCGTGAGATAAGTACCAACCATCGTCACGATGTGATGTCAATATTTTATTTGATGTAAAGTATGATTATTTATGTAGAGTCTGTCCTCCAGATGGGCAGCAAGAACAAGACAATTATGTTAACATCGGACAAGCGATTTTGTCTCTTTACTTCATCTACCAACGTTGTTAGTTACATAACTATGATATTGTATGTTATTCGCCGGTTCAGTGGTGCGGCCTTGGTGAAACTGTTTACTCGAATGTCGCGTTAAATCTCCCTCCAGTTCAACTCGCGTTCGCCGTTCATAGTAAACAACATGCAGACAGTCAACTCAAAATTCAAATTCTCCCCGCTCTTAGATATCATCGGTGCATTGCAGAATGTTGTGAGTGCTCATTTTTATGGGTCGCGTCTGAATATAATAATCAACGTCCACTTCAGCTCGCATTCACAACTGATCGTGTGTCTATTCCGATATATCTAATACTCATACCATGTTATTGACGATGACCAGATTAAGGGAAACCTCGACACCCCATATTGCAAATTTCCCAAGTCGACGTCCGAAAACTGTTAACAGAGCTCCCAGCACTTCAGGAGCTGACCGTATCAGTAAACCTGCACAGTGCCAATCATTCTACTATGATGACCATTGCACTATCTATCTCGCGACTGCCGTTCACTATGCGTAGTCTCAAGGTAATAGGGTTGGTATTCTGTCTCGCAGATATTTCTGCTCTCAATCCCTTCTTATTGGCACAGCTGTCAATTATCAAGGTCGCTATCTGTCAACCGAATGCAGTCCTCCACTTGCTCCAACGATGTCCCAGCCTTTCCTCATTAACGATTCGCGTACACGCCAACCGTCCAAAAAAACAACCCATCTGGCCATCATTTACTCACACCAGATCATTGTGCATCGTTTGTGCACACAAACTATGTATCTGACCTGTTCAATGTGCTATCACTTCCCAATCTTCACTTGCTTGAAACTCGCTGTGCTCCATCACTCAGCAATTTACGCTTGCTTACATGAAGGCATTCTTGGTACGGTTGAATTGTCCCTTGGAGAGCCTAATTTCCGGTGATGGAGTAATGACAACATATGAGTACTTGAGTAGCGAGTGGAATACGAATATGACTAGCGGTGACCAATTGTAACGAAAGTATCACGTTTTCGCGCTAAAATGTGTGACCTGCCGACTTCTGTGAGGGTGCCGATTGTACCGCAAGGGATAGTATGCCGCCTATGCTCTGTCCTACACATGACGTTATAAAACAATATAAAGTAATATAAAGTAATGTAAAGCAATATATAAGTCTGAACCGAGCGTGAATTGGCGTGATTACATTGCTTTAGATTGCTATATATTACTTTGTATCGTAATGCACAGGAAAGAAGCATCTGAGTCTCACCGGTTTACTGATGGCCCGCCCTTTTCGCGGGAGGCTTACTCCCGCCTAATCTATCGTAAATGTATGTATTGTGTTTGAGTGATTTTATCGTAACACGCATTCCGTCAGCATATCGTCGGGCAAAAGTTTATACTACTAGTACTGAATGCTATCAGTCTCGTAGTATATCTTAGCTTTCTACTTAGTCTTCGTCTGCGATAGGACCGACTAGATATTGTAAAAGCCATAGAGCACAATTACCATTCCACACGCGCCAGCCAGTCTGCTGAGTCGCTTTGCAAGATTAGTAGGTGTGATGACGGGTGTTGCGAGACTAGCTCTGAGATGTGTTGAAGTTTAAGTAGGTCATCTGTACCGCGGTCGCGGGATTATTTTGATTTCTATCATGCCAACGACATTTCCGACACAGCTCTATAATAGCGCGCACCCAAGCCATCACTATCGGATCTCGATCAGAATTCCAGAGGTAATGAAGGTTTATAACTATTCTTCATCAGGGCACAACATCAGTTCCGGGCGCACTTTCTCGTCAAACTCCTCGGGTGTCAGGAATCCGAGCCCAACCGTCGCCTCCTTCAACGTAGTTCCTTCCTTGTGGGCTTTCTTTGCGCATTTGGCCACGTCTGCAAGACTGCGATTAACTTCGAGCGGATTTACACAAAGTCGTAATTGGCACGTACTATCATAGCCAAGGTGGCTGTTTAAAATTGTTGCCAGCATCAAACTCTCGTTCAGGAGGTGGTTAATGTGCTTCTCATTGGCCTGGATGCCAACAACGCAATTCTTTGTAAACGAGCGTGAGGCTGACGAGCCAAGGTAAGCGAGTCAGGAAGGGTAATTTTCAGTCGCGGGAACTCACCATCGGAAAGAAGACGAATGCTCTGTAGCACGTTCATTATTATGACGGGTTTGAAGACGTTGAGCTAATTCGAGAAAATAATAAATCACCAAGTAGCCAACGTGCCGCTTGAGATACAAATACCTCAAAGTGTCCATTGGAACCAGCAATGCTGACAGTGGTCTGGTTGCCCATAACTTGAGCGGCGACCATAGTCACAGCCTCACACTGTGTGGGATTGACCTTGCCGGGCATGATGCTGCTGCCAGGCTCGTTCTCGGGGAGACTGAGTTCACCGAAGCCACAGCGAGGACCTGAGCCAAGGAACCGAATGTCATTGGCGATTTTCATCAGAGAGCATGCGATGACATTCAGAGCTCCGTGAGCCTCGACAAGGGCGTCGTGGCAAGCCAGAGCTTCAAACTACGGGTCTTGATTGGTACCCGGACAATATATAAGCCGTGAGATGTCTGACCTTGTTAGGTGCAGTCTGGAACTGCAAACCTGTAATCTTGGAGATCTCGGCTGCAACCTTCACGTCGAAACCCTTCCTCGTGTTAAGACCCTGCACAACACTTGAGTATCTATATTCGTGGGATGTTGAATGGCTCACCGTGCCAACAGCAGTTCCACCCTGAGCAAGAAGCCTTAAGCGAGGTAGAACATCTTTGGCACGAGCAATGCCGTTGTCAATTTGCTGGACATATCCGCTAAACTCTTGACCAAGGGTCAGGGGAGTAGCGTCCTAATAGCAATGAGACAGTCATCAAATTCAAGGCTGATTATTTTATACCTGCAAGTGCGTCCGTCCGATTTTGATAATGTGGCTGAATGACTGAACCTTTTCATTCAGTGCCTCCCTGAGTTCCGCCAATGCTGGGAGTAGTAAATGGTGGATCTCAGTCACGGCGGCGACGTGCATAGCTGTTGGGAAGCTACAGTTACCAGTCAATTCATTCGATCAAACATACTTCGGGCAACAACTCACGTGTCATTGCTACTCTGACTCATGTTAACGTGGTCATTGGGATGAACTGGTTTCTTCGAACCAAGTTCACCGCCAAGAAGTTCTATCGCTCGATTTGAAATCACCTGTTGACCAACTGGGTGAGCTAATAAGCATTCATTCATGTGCTATTATTACCTCGTTTACGTTCATGTTAGTTTGAGTTCCACTTCCAGTCTGGAAGACAACTAAGGGGAAGTGGTCCATGAGCTTCCCGGAAATGACCTGATGCGAGATTTAGTTCGAAACACGCGTCCGAAGCCTACACGATATCTCACATCATCGGCTGCTCTCTGAATAGCTTCGCCAATTTTGGGATCCAGGCCATAGCTGACATTAACGATGGATGCTGCCTTCTTCAGCACACCGAATGCCTTGATTAGGGGAGGTGGTTGTCTTTGTGAGGGTCCACCGATATCGAAGTTCTGTAGTGACCTGGGGGAAAGACTCAATGATAAGTACACTCGCCACAAATCTAATCATTACGTACCGTTGTGTCTGTGCGCCCCAATAGCGATCGGCTGGGACCTGGAGCTCGCCGAAGGTGTCACGCTCAGTGCGGAATGACTGATTTGACTGATACAGTGATCGCTCGGTTCCTCCTCTGATGAGTGCAATGATCTTACTCACCATGACGAAAAGTACTACGCGTAGCAGAAGAGTAGCCTGAGACAATAAGTAGCTAGATGAAATCACCTTGAAATCACCGCATTACTAGAGGAAGGGCTCGGGAGCAAATAGCACCAAATGCGGCTAGTTCCGGCTGGAATGAAGTTCCCCTATCACGCACTCCAAACCTACAGAATTCGAAGATTATAATTTATGAGGCATCGCCTTGCCATCTTACATTCCGTGTTATCCCCGCTCGCGAATACCTTCCATATCCCATTTCATCCGGGCAGGTGGACCCGAGTGACTGGCACCGCTGAGGGAGGGAGACACTCCTGAATGAAATCACATAAACGCTCGTGTTTTGTGATTGAAGTACGGACAAAATTGAAACGCAAGACATTTGACTCCAGCCTGTGCGCGCAATACGGATGAGCGGTGACATTCCATGCATGCCTGGTATGAGGAATGGATACTCTTTTATATTTCGTTCCGACAGTTCGACTTTGACTTGCCTTTTTACCCTTCAACTGCTCGTACCCGATGTACATGTTTATCCCGAATCTCCCGCAATTTTATCAAAGCTTCCCCACATGCAAATGGAGGAACTCCATGAATTATGATACTTGGCTCGAAGCCTCGAACACAGGTTTATGGACCGCAGTCAACCAACAGGTTTCTCCACCTTCAGTTGACTACGGGCCAGCACGAAATCGGAGACCATCTACATGCATTCATGGTGGATTTTCTCTGTGGATGCCCGAAATCACAATTTTTTCACGTACCTTGTCCCTCCCCTCCGTCAACCAACAACCCATACGTCCGATTGCCTGACCCGAACGGTGTTCTTCGACTCGCTTCTAGGCACTACTTCTAGAACCGCTCATTGGTTTTCGTCACTGGAATTTGACGCAAAATATAGGGGTGCATACCATCTCTGCGAACATATCCCTGCGTACTGCTGAGTAGTAGTGACATAAAGTCAGAGCACCAGTTAGTACTATCGAGCATGAAAGCTGAAAACGTTTTGATGCGAAGCTTCATTTGGCCACTGACACAAATCGTGAAAAATGTCAGCTGCAGGGAAGGTGTAGTTGATTAACTATCTCTTGTAACATTTGCAGAACAGTCTTGTGGCTTCAGCGAGTTGAGCATTATGGATATAGGGAGGTTAGGCTCCCTCCAAGACGGTGTCGACTGGAGTGAGGAGGAGAGCAAGCTGCGGGAACTCGTAAGTACTTCAAGTAGTTGTTGGAAAAGCTGAACTCCGAGGGAGATCGTATTAGGTTTTCTTCATCTGCAGAGTACGTCATGGAACCATGAGCGTTGGGTGGTATACTACATACTACATTCAACTTGTCGCAACTGAGAACCTACTCTAGCAAGTGCGCAAATGAATTAGACGCATAGAAGGTTGCGAAGAAGGATTTGTAGTATGCTTCTATGATGTAGATGTAGTAGGCGTATTGCGCGCGCGAAGAATCACACAATCCACAATTGATCCATTGCAAGTCCAGTGTCCAGCTGGTCTCCCCTGTAGACCATAGTACCTTATGGTCGTCAAGTCCGAGACTACCACCTCTTGCACGTGACCGTGACACACGCGTTAAAAATACAAGACCAACACTGAGTCTGACACACTGAAAGAGTCCAAATTCATAGACATTCGCAGACACTAGTACTTACTCTCTTCGCCCTCTCGTATTCAACTTCATAAATGTCGTCGCTTACGCCGCTCAAGGCATCTATCCTCAGCCTCAAGCCACACAAAAACGAAGCCTCCCTCCGGATTCGCAACAGTTCTGCTGCTGTCCTTGCTGTACTCTTTCTTACCCACCTTACTCCAGCACCGTCGCTATGGACAGCTATAGATGTCGTTTTTAATGATTTAGGAGAAGGAAAATCCGCCTTTTGGATGTTATGCGCTGCTGGTGGGTGTCTTCACTTGCTCCAATTTGCCAACGAAGTCGCTGACAGCGGCGTCTAGAGTTGACCATCCTAAGTCTCTTCACCCTGAATGCCCTTCAGGCAGCTGTAGCGCTCATGTATCCACCAAAACATCTCCCACTCACGCCCTCACCCACGAAGAGCATCAAGACACCACAATTACAATCACAAAAACGTCGTCATGTGTTGTCACCCCATGTATGTAAAGTCCGGGTACACAGGGGGAATGCACTTAACAAACGATGCACAGACGAGCCCACAGCCGCAGCGCACCTTCTCCCCATACGCTTCCTCTCCCGTGTCGACTCCTTCTCGAACCCTCCAATATTCCATTCCGGGACCCACACCTCCACCTTTTTCCTCACTGAACTCCTCAACTGGTATGCCACCAACGCCATCACCTTTATCTGCGTACCGAGGAAAGCATTCAGCGAGTACAGGACGTGAGTCATTTCACTTTCCTCTATCGTTGCCCCATTCTGATCATTACATTAGATGCATTCAATGGTTCGATCCTTAGTAGACTCACAAAGGATGATGATGAGGATGAGGAATAGATGTAGATCTGTAATACGGTATTTTTGTTTTAGATCATGTCTATTGCTATCGATGTTTCTACGTTCTTCTAGAGTGCAATTAGTGAGATGACTCGAATAATATGGGAAATTTGCAGCGTGCAGCGGGTTCTGTCACCAGTAAATCACAACATGCCTCTGGTTCATTGTGACTTATCGTAGTGCGTACCTAAGGTCGTCGTATCTCACTCGCTAACACACCGACTGGTTTAGGACGGCATTCTGAGCAGACCTTCCATACCTGCAGTGCTTACTGACGCGGCGGGTGAACTGACACGTGGATCGCAGCGTTCCCTGGCACGAGCACAGAGTGTGCCAAATCGAGGAAAAAAATCAAAGGCATGTTCTTAAGGAAGCTCACCGATTATCTATCAATCCACAGATTTTTCCTGACTCATGTTTGTAGCGTGGATGTGTTGATACAAAAGGCACCAAAACGGAGTTGCGCCTCGGAGTATGGTCAAAAGAAGAATCGAAGAAATTTAACAAATCCATAGAAGATGGGTTTATCCACGATCGATCTGATCCTTCATTTTGCATTTAAAGCCCTGACGTTGGCATCCCACATATCTCAAAATCTCTTCCTCTTGTGTCAACAGATATGGCGCGGCAGGCTCACACCATGCAAGCTACATCGACTGCTCCCGCTGTTTCGTACGTCCCCAGGCCATCTGACGCCGATTTTCGCCACCTGCAATAATCCAGGCATGCGGAGATTGTCCAAGCGCTGGACATGGCCCCTGAGGCTTTTCAAGGAACTCAAAGTATGTTACCATTTACTTTGTATTATTTCCTGCTGAACTCGACATCCGCAGAGCAGAAAAAAGTGCTCGAGGAAGTCCTAGCGTCGCTAGACTGCTCGAAGAAATTCGACGAGCAAGATCCTGCCGTGTGGCGCAGGTGTGTGCGATGGGTGGGTCGATCCGTTTGTTGTCACGCTGATTTTGGGATCCTAACATCTACTTTCAAGGCTCGTGAAGCTATGCCCTCCCTGAGTTTGAGATATGAAGCCGCCTGGCCAGTTGAGTTGTATGTGAAAATCAGCCTCAGCAAGCGCATTGCATACAAACGCTACCGCTTCAAAAAGGTAGTGGCACAGTGCAAACATACAAGGGTCTTCAGGTCTTCTTCCTCTTCAGTGCGCCCATCCAACACCTTCCCCACACCTATTCGCGCTCATTATCCATCAGGGAGAAGCGGAGATGTCGCTGGCCGACCCGCCACCACCTTATCATGAGGACGAAGAACCAACCACCGGCAGTGAAGGGCTCACAGATGCATCCGGACGCAGCTCCCGAGAACATCGAAGATTTTTTAAAATCCTGCGACTTCGATCTCGGGCATCTCACTAGTGTTTTCGTCACTCGACGAGCAGGCCTTTTCAATTTGGAAAAGCTAGAACTTATTGCATCGTGGCCTGCCGCTCTGAGGCGCGACCACTTGGAAAGACATTATGGTACTATGCCTGAAGATGTCGAAATAGAGGTGTTGAACAAGCGGTTCATCAAGATGAATCACGCGCAACTTTGACTTTTTGTTTGAAGTGGATTTGTATTGGCATCTTGAAGTTGTTTTCTAATACGTCGGGTTGCAATCGAGGTATTGATCTGTTCGCGATATTTCTTCAACCCTGCTCATCGCGCGATGGGATACTACGACTGAATATTTTTCAAAGCCCAGGTATCATCTTCAGTCTCTCGCTGCTGTGTCAACCGGAGAACTGAACCTTCCTCGTCTTCCAGACTTGATCCACTGCTTTTTGAGTAAACGTGCACACGAAGGAGGGGCGCATTCATGTGGCTCACCCTGATATCTTGCTAAGCTGTCACCTGCGCGTTCAGGGGTATATGATATGGCGTCCCCGAAAGCAAGACTCACGAAACGACTCCAATGAGTGAGCGGAAACAAAATCCGCTCTGGCGGTTAGGGTACCACGAGATTCCTTGGTTCAACCAGGCTTATTAGACGATGATAGGGTGCCAAAGAGAATTTCGCGAATGTTGCCTTTGCCAGTTCACCTCATGCACCTCCGGATCAGCCACACCAGGGCCTTAGGGTTGACGTTAATCAAGCTTCTTTGACACCTCGAATGAGAACTTGTAACGTCGCCCGATGCCGCGAAGTCAAGGTGAAGTTGAACTCGTGGTTCGAATCCGCTTCAACTTAATGTAAACTGTGATGCACCTTACTGAAAGCTACCCAAAAGATGTTAGTCACAACAAACATATTGTTGATGTACCTGGTGACTCGTGAGTACTTGAATAGTATCCGAATCAAACAGGTTGTAGTCAAAATCGTCAGCATCGCTTTCACCGTCGCGATCGAAAGTGAGAGGTTCTTGCGGCACAGGGGTTTCTTTCGCTGGAAGACATGAGTCAGTAGCCTGTGAAGCGAAGCCACAAGCAGCATCCAACTAAGCGCCGTCGGGCTGTCTGCACACCTTCCCACTCGCTCCAGCCATCCGTCTTGGAAATGGTTCGAATGTGTAACTCCTAGCTTGCATCCCAAGCTGACTAACCATGAACTACTTCGCGGCCGTTGCCGAACCGATTGTGACTTTATCACTCTGGCGAGAAGACACGGGTAAGATGTGGATGCTCCGTTGCGTGTACGGCTTGCACCATGCGTTCAAGATGTATTTTTTTTTTACCTGATATCGTGAAAACACTGTCACATACGTACCATCTTGACGTTCGCTCTGAATTGTTTTTAGAGCAAGATCCAAGCTGATCTGATCCCACTTCCAAGCCGTTCGACCGGACATCAATCAGCAGATGCTGATTTGAAGATCATTGCGATCAGTGCCGCGCGGTGGCGAAGAGGCGTTTTACGGCAGACCTATGAAACCCGAATACTTTGCGTCATGTTCCACCTGGCAAATACGCTCCGGAAGGCTCTGGATCATCATCAGATAAGAAGAAATCCTGCGATAGACGGTCGACCAGTTTAGTTTCTCGCCTGCCGTGGCTTCTCCCGCTTTACTCTTGTCAATTGTATGGCTTTTAGAAGGAGAATGCTAGCAACTACTCCAGAGATAGAACATAGCCTAACTCCTGCTGCAGCTTCAGGTTTAATGAAAATCGGCACCGAGGATCGGTGGGGGAGCAGGTGTATAAGGCAAGGAACATAGAGCCTATGATAAAGGCTGAAAGACTTCGTCGTTTCTTGCCACCAAACCGCACCATGGCCCATGCAGAGCTTGATCGTCTACAAGCATGTTTAAACTTCGCACTTGATAAACTCCGCAAGGAGTTGGACAATTCCCAGCTGCCTCCCCTGAGCCAACTCAGTTCAGTTGAACACCCATTGGACGACCCAACAACCTACTTACCCAGTACGGGATTGTTTGAAGCTCGCCGCCTCTCTCTAGGTACGTGTTATGATTTATATGTAACAATGCATACTTAACCTCAATCATCTTTCAGCATGCCTGGTTGGTTAATACCCAGCCCTATTTTTTCATTCATCTGAGTGCCTCTTCTAGGGAGAGCTAAAGAACCTTATCCAGTCGCCTTTGGATAAGTGCATGGATGAGAGATTCACTGCATATGGTGTTGCCTGCACCGATACCCTGATCAAGACCGGTATCATCGACTACCTGTCTGACGTGCCAAACCCTTCCCAAGGTGTCCCGGCCGCTGAACTGGCCTCGAAATTTGAACTTGATTCTCAGAAACTCGTTCCCATTCTCCGCTGCTGTGCAGCCAATGGTTGGGTCAGGGAGACCCGTGACTCATCGTTCGCTCTGAACAGATGCTCGCGCACTTTCATTGAAGGTCACGCAGGTCGGAGACTGAACTTTTTGTGCGTTTTCTTTGTATCAGCGCTCGCCACAGCTAAATGTCGAGCAGTATGCCTGGGTTTGTGACGATGATAGAAACCATACCATATTGGGTGGCGGAATCGGAGTGGAAATTATCGCGTTCTCCAGAGCAGACTGCTTTCCAGATCGCATTTAAGACTCCCTTGTTGGCATTCTCCTGGATTATGGAGAATCCAGAGGTCCTCATTCCAATTGCGAATCATCTCAAGTCAGTAATTCTGTGAGAAACTTCCAGGGTTCTGATCGGACTTCTTGCCGTTCTAGGTCGCTGGAGACATGTCTACACCAAGTATCGTGGCAGACTACCCATGGGAACAGCTGGAAACGCCAGTCATCGTCGACTGTGGAGGGGGAGAGGGCGGCCTAGTTTCGGCCATCCTAGATGCGTAAGTTGGCATATATATTCCCCTTCCCGAGGTCTCTCAATCGTGGCAGGCATCCTTCCTTCCGAGCAATCGTACAGGACATGGAGAATGTGGTCGCACTGACAAGTTCGATTATGGAAGAACGCCGCCCTCGTGATATCGAAAATGGTGTACTCAAAGTGGAAGCCCATGACTTGTTCCAGCCTCAGGCATGGATCGGAAATGAGTATAGCTTCATCTTGCGTCATATAATGTGAGTGCTCGTTCGCCGCACCCATTCTTTTGCTCACACCAGCTCTGCGCCAAAGGCATGATTGGCCGGACAAAGAAGCAGTCAGTGTTGCGCATCCTACTTCAACGGCATAGCTAACTTTGACTCAGGCGACGATATTGGGCCACGTGGCTCGTGCACTCGGTCCTAAGGTAACTAATCAAATGAGCAGATCTTTATGCTATGTCTGACGCGTTTCACAGTCCAAGATACTCATCATCGACATGGTAGCTGTCCCGAACGTAAATGCGACTGCTACAACGAGCTTCGAATCGTTCTTACTTGATAGCGATGCTAAGCGCCTCGACTGCACTATTCCATCGCACTTTGGTTCAGCGTCGAAAATCGTAAGTGGTTCCTCGATGCACATGCTGACCATGATCAACGGTTGCGAGAGGTCTTTGGTACGTACAGAACAAAGGTTGCCTGTGCGTTGCTGAAGATCGAACAGCGTGAGTGGGAGGCACTTGTGAGGGCGTGCGGGCTCCGTATCATGAACGTTTACCCGCTGCGAGCTCACACTTCCATCATTGAATGTGCACTTGACACACGAGCATTGCTGTAAAGCAGAGAAAGATCCCAGAGTAATGACATACCTTATTTACCCATGCATATTGAAGTGGATTTTTGGTATTTCAGGTATAGACGAGATATACGTCACTTCCGGCGGATGACCGCACAAATTTCAACAAAGGTTACCCATCCGACGAGTCCTCAAATGGTACATTCACCTGTTCCAAAGGGCTTCGCGTGGCCCTTGAGCCTGACGAGACCTTTGTCTTGATCCCACACCCAGCAAGGTACGAGCAATGAGTGCGCGTTGCCACAGGCTGGATCTTCAGGGAGACTTGTTGCGTCAGGCGGAACGTGTCTGGTGATTGTGGTAGTGTAAGAACTAGGTTTCCAGAGATCAGTCGTTCATCGTCGCTGACTCATATATCCCCGCTCGTTTTGTTTTTGATGATTGGTGACGCGGACGAACGTCTGTGTGTGCGATGTGGCGGAATCGGACAGGTGTAAGTTGGTGTCGAATTTGCAATCTAGATCTAGATCAGTGTCTCGAGTCTCGACGTCGCCCGTCGATTTCTCCTAGATTTCTTTGACGTTAAACTATGCATCTCAGTACTGTTGTAGTACTGTTGTGCCTTCTTCTTTGATGGAACTTGTCTGTAAAAGCACTTCACACCGCGATGTTCTTGTAAGTGCTTCTCCTTGCTACTATGTATCAACAATATTGTTTGTTCCCACCCACAGAGAGAGAGAGTTGGAGTCTGCCTAAGGAGACTACTAAGGATCAGTGCTGCCGTAAGGTGACCGTAACACTATACCCGCAATAGAAGGTTGCTCTAGAAGTTGAAACGTTGATGATGAACTAAGCCTAATTCAGCACAAGCTTATCCGCAGTAAGTCCTTATTGCTGGGATCAAACCATTTCAAACGCTCTGTCCTTGCATTTTTTAGATAAAGGCTGAGAAACTTCGTCATTTCTTGCCACCAAACCGCACCATGGCCCATGTAGAGCTTGATCGTCTCCAAGCATGTTTGAACTTCGCACTGGATACACTCCGCAAGGAGTTGGACAATTCCCAGCTACCTCCCCTGAGCCAACTCAGCTCAGTTGAACACCCATTGGACGACCCAACAACCTACTTACCCAGTACGGGATTGTTTGAAGCTCGCCGCCTCTCTCTAGGTACGTGTTATGATTTATATGCAACAATGCATAACCTCAATCATCTTTCAGCATGCCTGGTTGGTTAATACCCAGCCCTATTTTTTCATTCATCTGAGTGCCTCTTCTAGGGAGAGCTAAAGAACCTTATCCAGTCGCCTTTGGATAAGTGCATGGATGAGAGATTCACTGCATATGGTGTTTCCTGTACCGATACCCTGATCAAGACCGGTATCATCGACTACCTGTCTGACGTGCCAAACCCCTCCCAAGGTGTTCCGACCGCTGAACTGGCCTCGAAATTTGAACTTGATTCTCAGAAACTCGTTCCCATTCTCCGCTGCTGTGCAGCCAATGGTTGGGTCAGGGAGACCCGTGACTCATCGTTCGCTTTGAACAGATGCGCGCGCACTTTCGTAGAAGGTAATGCGGGTCGGAGACTAAACCTTTCGTACGTTTTCGCTTTATGAGCGCTGGCCGAGGCTAAATATTGAGCAGTTGGCCTGGGTTGATGACGATGATAGAAGGCATACCATATTGGGTGGCGGAATCTGATTGGAAATTTTCGCATTCTCCCGAGCAGACTGCTTTTCAGATCGGGTTTAAGACATCGTTGGGGGCATTCTCCTGGATTTTGGAACATCCAGATGTTCTCGTTCCAGCTGCGGATCATCTTCAAGTCAGTAATTCGGCGAGAGGGCGAGAGTGCGCTGATCGAACTTTTGCCGTTCTAGGTCTTTGGTGACATGTCTACGCCGAGTGTCGTGGCGGACTACCCATGGGAACAGCTGGAAACCCCTGTCATCGTTGATTGTGGAGGGGGCATGGGCGGCCTAGTAACGGCCATCCTCGATGCGTGAGTCGGCAAATGTATTTGTATTCCCGAGGTCTCTCATTCGTGACAGGCATCCTTCCTTCCGAGCCATCGTGCAGGACATGGAGAATGTGGTCGCGCTGACAAGTTCGATTATGGAAGAACGCCGCCCTCGTGATATTGAAAATGGTGTGCTGAAGGTGGAAGCCCACGACTTCTTCCAGCCTCAGCCACGAATCGGAAATGAGTATAGCTTTATCTTGCGTCATATAATGTGAGTGCTCGTTCGCCTCGCCCATTCTTTTGCTCACACCAGTCCTGTGCCAAAGACATGATTGGCCAGACAAAGAAGCAGTAAGTATTGTGCACCCTACTTTAATGGCATCACTGACTTTGACTCAGGCGACGATACTGGGTCACATAGCTCGTGCACTAGGTCCCAAGGTATATAGCCAAATTAGCATATCTCTGTGATATCTTTGATGCGTTTCACAGTCCAAGATACTCATCGTCGACATGGTAGCTGTCCCAAACATAGATGCGACTGCTACAACGAGCGTCGAATCGTTCTTGACAGATGGCGACGCCAAACGCCGCGACAATAGTATTTCGTCGCACTTTGGTTCAGCGTCTAAATATGTGAACGGCTGCTCGGTGCACATGCTGGCCACTCTCAACGGTTGCGAGAGGTCTTTGGTGCGTGCAGAACAAAGTTTGACTATATATTGCTGAAGATTGAACAGCGTGAGTGGGAGATACTTGTGAGGGGGTGTGGGCTCCGTATCACGAACGTTTACCCGCTGCGAGCTCACGCTTCCATTATTGAATGTGCACTTGACACACGAGCATCACTGTAAAGAAGAGAACGCTGGATCCCAGAGCGGTTTCCCATGTGCATTGAAGTACAATGTTGGTATTCCGAATATATGTAGGCGAGATATAGTCTTTCTCCATGGCGGTTGGTTGGACGAATTCCAGCCCGTAAATTGACCTTTTCCGAAAGCCTTCGCTTAGCCCTTGAGCCGGACAAGACCTTGGTTCCGATTCCAACCCACTCACAATTCTCCTCCACGCGGGCCCACCTGACGAACATTTGAATGAGCGTATGTGTAAGCTTACACTTCCCTGTCAAGGGTTCCTCGGCCCCCCATACCTGCACATTCTATATATCTCAGTCGATAGATCACTTGGCAATGTGGCCATGCGAGGGATCATGAATGCCTTAGTGAGTAGCTGGTCCTAAGTAGTGCACACCAGTACTACAGATTGGCAAGCAAGAGTTCTGCCCTCGCAAGACGGCGCTTCCCAAGTGTCAATGTGCTTATGACATCATCACGAGTTGGAAAATCGCGGAGAACATTCAAAATATTACAATATTGTCTAGCATGTAGTCACGAGGACATGGATCTGCTCAGCATGATGCGAAGGAGATGGACAGGGCAGTGGGGGATGATAGCAGATTATAGACACAACGGACACGATACATGGCACGAACCGGTAATAAATGGTAGAGCAGAAAATTTGAGAGGTCTAGTCACGGTACCGCATGTTTCAGTATAGGCTTTAATCCTCGCACCCCTTCTGGCCAGTCAATACTAGGAGAGATGGATACAGGGTACGTGACCTCGCCTCTGCGTTCAGCTCAGTCAAAATCATTCAGTTGCATTTTACCGTCCTTCATAATCATAACATTCAGCTTCCGTCACCCAATACAAATCCCTACCCGTGACAGTACTCGATCGCTTCCTTGAGGTCGTGGTGAAAATTGGAGGTAGTTGCGGTGTACCATAAGGCTGTCATGATGTCCACGTACTCCATGACTATCATCTGCAACCTGCCATACGATGGCGTGTGCGGCAAGACATTGATTTGTCCGCAGTACAAAATCTTCGGCTCGAACCCTGCTTCCGCCATCACCTTGTGGGCGTCCTCGCCGTACCTGGTGACGAACTTCAGAACGACATTGATCGGGTGGTCCTCGACCGTTTTCGCCAGGTAAGTCACACAGGATGGATGACGTCCGAGGTGCTTCTGATATCAGAATTACACAGAATTGCTGTTGCATATGTAGATATCTGGAGTTGGAAAAAAGTGAGCGTGTGCCACAGGTCGTGATGTATCGTAAGGCGGCTCCTTGCGCTCGAAGACATCGTCATATCAGTCTTTGAGCTGGGTGACGGATTCCCTGCGTGCATAGAGGACGTACCCAATTTGAAGTACTTGATCGTCATTGAATGCAGGATAGGCTAGGATCCAGATGTAGTCCATAAGCCGTTGGATGACACACTTCTCCGTGAGGACAGTGCCCAGAACCGCTAGCCAAGATCCAGCCTGAGCAATCAAGAAGGCAGGACAATCACTCCTTTCAGCGAAGTTCCGGGTACTAGCGACGGGCATTAATGACGAGACCAAGAAGCATTAGAGCAGTCTAATCATCGCACCTTGGGCTCCTGACTTGAGATGCATAAGAAGGAGAAAGACGCCTCCACCGAAGGGTCTGAACTTTCATCTCCGAACTCGTTCTGCTCTTCATTCAATATCAAGTACATATATCAGGGATGTGGAAATGAGATGAGAAGACTACAACATCTGCAATGTTTCCGCCATCAGGAGCAGACACCTTAATGAAAGGCTGTTTGACCACCTTCTGCCATAGATGAGTGACGTTTAATTCGCGGGTATCCTCGTTGCGGTGTATAGTTGCAAATCTAGTCATGAGATCCTGAATGTGATGGAGCGTCTCATTCGGGTACTTCGTATGTAGGATCTGCTTTGCTTGAGAAGTAATCGGATGCCGGATTGAACGACTGAATTGGTGGCACAGTGGCATCGACCATCTTGCCCTGAGCGTAGCGACCGTCGTATGATTTGCCAGGCCCGCCCTGGATTCTGCAATATGCTCCGGATTGAGCAGTTGTTGAACGGGCAGGACAGGTGGATCCTAACTGAAGGGTTTTCTTGAACTCTTCGGGGGTGGGATATATTGTGAGTCGCTCGACCTCAAAAACTAGTCAGTATAGCTAGCTCACCAGTGTGTTGAGATCTGCTCTATTATCAGTTGGGTTTTCTACACCCCCGCCTCGTGTGACTGGAGGATGTCGCACGACGATATGGATATGTTCATGCTCCACTCCATTCGTGAACACATCGGACAGTTCGTTCATCGGCTCCAACTCTACGCCAGCCTTGATCCCGCCTTCGTTCCCGAACATGTTGAGTAAGTGTAAGCCGTGCCAGTTGACATTAACCTTCCAAAGTATCAGATCATAGTCTATCATAGTCAGCATCAGATCCCAGGCATCGATCACTCATCTGCCATAGCTCGAGGTTGTTAGTATCAAAACCATCAAATTGTCCCTTGTTCGTGCCCTTGATAACTCAAATCGTCGACAGTATCCACGCTTGCGATCTCGACAGAAAAGGCACGATATGAATCATCCCCAATGACCCAACAATTGAGCTCGAGTATGTTGGACATGAACGTTTGAACAGCGAGACGGACTGAGTTGATGAATTTTGTTTGTGGCTAATGCTTGGTTCATGCGCAAACACCAAGGTTTCGATATACATATCATACGTCTACCGGCCGTACGCCCGGGAACGTCACATACTTTCCAACGCGCTCCGATCCATCATGTACATTATAGAATATATCTCAAGTCAGCAAAATGTTACAATACTTACATGTACCAACACTGCAGCCACACTGCTCTGCTCGAGGGAACGACACTCGCAGGACGAGAAGTTACCGCAGGAACAGAGGTAGCGGAGAGGAAGAAGGGACGGAAGAGAACTCAGAACGGTTTGGATATAATCAACACGACTGCTCAACACCAACGCCAAGGAACCCCAATGCACGAAGGTTAACCCGCTGTATGAAATCGACGTTGACCTTTGCCCGACATAGTACATACTGTGTCGACGGAGTACGCATCATGCATCGACCAGACCTTACATATAACTATGATAGAAAGCCGGGAGTCAGTCCCCCGCACTCGAATAACCTAGGCCATGTCCGACATAGGGTCTTCGACCCCAAAGGATAATAAATTCAGAAAAAAAAAAATATCATCCACCTTGCCACCCTTTGTTAGGTTAACGTGTGCCCTCAGGCTTCAGTGTCTGAATGAACCACATCAACGACTATTACACACTTCTCGACTAGACTGGGACCATGAACATCCATGATCCGACTCGTGTATTTCCGTTGCAAGTTGCAGCGCAGGACGTGGCTTGCTGAATAGCAGGTCATAGGATTGGGCGGTTGCTGAAGCGGAAGTCGGGAGTCGGGAGTAAGCCCATGAGGGCATTGAATGGGTACGTGTGGCTGTCAGAAGGGTATCTTACAAAGAAAAATTACGTAGATTAGCGAGTGAAAAGTCGCTCAGTTCACCTGAAAGGCGCATTTCAAAACGAGCACGGTACTTAACATGCAGCAAGATGATCCTCCCATCTTTCATCACTCACATACTTCAGTCATTTCCTTACTGTAGAACCCCTGCCCTGGATGTGCCAAAAGGTCGTAGAATCATGGCTAGCCAGTCCTCGGCCGGTGCATGTAGAATAAGTGCTGGCCGATGTACTATCTGATTATAACTTGAGTATCATTATTTCATGTAGGAAAGGTACTGGCCTGGTGTATAGTATGTCAATCTCTTTCATGTAGGATTGGTGCTGGCCGAGGTATTATAGGCCAATCTCTTGTATGTAGTATCAGTGCCGGCCAGTCTATAATACTATAACCATCTCTTTTGTCCTGTATGTAGGATGAGTGCTGGCCGAGATATCATATGACATATACTAGCCATAGGATCAAGCTGGCTGGTATATGTAGGATATATCTACTGCATTCTGATTTCATTAGTAGACCGGCCAGCTTGTATCTACATATGTAGGAGCATGGCTGGCCAGTTTGGAGTTCTTAAGTTGATGCTGGCCAGTGAGGCTCTGCAGTGGGTGGATCCATGGCTGGCCTGGTCTGCTAATATTTCACTAGCAAACTGGCCAGCATGGGTCTACATATGTAAAAGCATGGCTGGCCAGTTTGTAGTCCTTGTGTTAATATACTGGCCATTGAGTGTACTAACCATAGGATCAAGCTGGCTGGTATATGTAGTCATTAGTAAACCGGCCAGCCTGTATCTACATATGTAAGAGCTAGGCTGGCCAGTTTATAGTCTTTAAGTTAATGCTGGCCAGTGAGGCTCTGCAGTAGGTAGACCCATGGCCGACTGGTCTGCTAATATTTTACTAGCAAACTGACCAGCTTGGGTCTACATATGTAAGAGCATGGCTGGCCTGTTTGCAGTCCTTAAGTTAATACTGCCCAGTGAGGCTCTGCAGTAGGTAGACTTGTGGCATCTCATTCAATGCAATTGGCAGGAGTGTTGGTATAATATTTCAAGGTACAAATCCACACCCATTGAAAGCCTTCTCAGCATCCTGAGCAAACCTTCCCCACATCAAGACCTGTTGATAAGCATAGGCTTGATGACCAGGTCTAGTCGCTTGCTGCCACCTTCTGTTCCATTCTTTCTGGTGATACTTGAACCAGTTTATGGTCCAACCCATTTCATGTCTTACCAGACTCAACTCCTCCTGCCATCTACTCCATCTAGCCTTTGCCTTCAACCAGTTGACCCTATAGACTAAATAAGAGTGAGTTGAAGTGACTTGCACTTGAGATGAAATTTTCTTCTTACATTCATCCATCCAAGCATCTTCTTGACCTTCATTGGCATTATTCACCCTCCAAAACCAAGCCAGTCTGTCTGACCCTTGTCCAAATCTATTTTCTTCTGTCACCTCTTTGTCTATACTGAGTTCGGTGGGCAATATTTCTTGATAAATACTGCCCAAGGTAGCTTCTTCCATGCCTAGATGTTGCATTGCTGACCTTGCCCTCTGATAGCTTCTTACATATTTGTCAATTTTGAGCTGACATTGACGAGCTTCTTGCTTTGACCTGGTGCCAGCCCATGTAGAATCTGCGCTTCGAAAATACTGACGATAAATAAGGGCCTTGTGACCGAGAGCCATACAAAGGTTTTCTAGGCAGTCGTTGGCTTGGCCTTTTTGAAGCTCCAACTCTTCAGCTTGGAGGGGGCCCAGCCCAAGAGTCAATCTATTGTGTCATCGATGCCGAAGATGGCATCCAGATACCCATCTCTTCTGTGAGGATTTCTTCATCTATATCCTCTGAGATCTCTTCATCTGAAACCTCCACCCACTCATTACCATCGTTATCTGTACGACAGAATCTAGGATCGTCAGAAGGCACTGTTCCAATATCAAGATCCATGCCAGCAGTCATAGCATTGGCGGTTTCATGAAATTTGGCAATCCTGGCTGCCAATCTCTGCCGCTTTTCTTCTATAGAAGCTTTCTGAGCAGAGGTTGCATCATTAGGAAGTTGTCGTATATTTGCTCTCAATGCATCCCTAAAATAGCACTTTGTTAAGCCATTCTACTGTTCCAATCAATTACATACTGTAAATCCTCCAGATTGATACCAGTGATGAGCCAAGATACTGTTCCTGGATGTCTGGCATCATCATTCTCAGACTCAGTTAATTTGAGCCGAATCTCTGCCATAGTTGGGGCTGAACTCAGTTCCAGATTAGATGTCTTATAAGCCTCAGACCCAGACAGAGCTCACTTACCTTTGTTGATCTGCAACTGGTAGATGTCAAGATACTCCCCACGTTCTTCCACAGCCTTTTTCTCATCAATTTCCCACATCAAAATCTTCCCGGGATTCAGAGACCGGGCCAGTTCATCAAAAGGAGATTTTGTCTCATCAATGCCTTTGAGAGCACGTTTATACTTGGTCAAGAGAGTCTTTGCTAGAATTTTAAGTGTCAAGCACAGTTTTTGATATACATGATTGAAGTGCTTACTTATTCCAACTATTTTTTTCCAGTTTGAGTCTCTCATATAATCATCAAGAACTTCTTGGCGATGAGCATGACTCATTGACCGAGCAGTTGGGGAAATCTTATTGAATGGTGCCCATAAGGTCTCCAAAATCTCCCCATCAACATGTCCAGCTCCTTGAACAAAGTTGAGGCTGTACCTTGCAAAGCAAGCCAATTTGTGAGTGCTGAGATGGAATTTTCCAACCGCAGGGATGATCTGCATATTTTCTGGTATGGATAAGCCTTGGCTCTCAGCAACTCTCTGTAAAAAATTAATACTCCACTGACACCCCACATCATAAATAATGAGAGAAGAGTCTATACCAGCCAAATGATAATTCAAAGCATTGCATATTGAATAGTCAATGTTCATGTGTCTAAACATCCTATGAGCTCGCTTAACATGCTGTTTAGGAGGATGTACAGACCTTTCGCCCTTCTGAAAATCAACTATGCTGTGTGGAACAAAGCATCCATGTCGGGCACAGGCAGTTGCTCCTACCCCTGTTGCTCGAAGATTACTCCTGCTGATATTTGTGGTGTTGATTGCTCGATGATTGCTACAAGAAGAGCGCTATACAGGCCATCAAGCAAAGTCGAATACCCTTGCTACAAGTCAACTCACCTCCTTACTTTCGACAGCCAATGAGAGATGAGTCTGATATTCTCTATCTTTCACCATATAACCAAGACCATCTGAAAGACTGATGTCTAACTGTGGCTTTTTCATAGTCATATGTTGAGCGGTAAAGTTTCCATCCACAATGAATCTTTGTGAAATGAGCCAACTGTGTAAAGAATAAGTATAAGTTCAATGAATGAGGTCAGATAAATAGAAGGTACAGCTAGCCAAGGCTTGCATACTTGGAAAGCTAATGCAAGCACGAAAACTAGTCCTGAGTTTAGCTGGCCGGCATGGTTCTGCCTGCTGTCTATACAGTCCTGGCCAGCCAAATACAATATCAGAGTTTGGCCGGCCGGCCCAGGTCTACAGCCTGTCTATACAGTACTGGCCAGCTTTGTCAGAAACTAAGCCAGCAAGGCCAAAGTTTGTGTACAACATGTAGCACACAGCCAGCCGGTCAGTATAATGTTCTTGAATGTTGCATAGAAGAGAAAGCCAGCCTCCTTATAATCTGAACCAACAATAGATGACTTGCCTTTCAGTACTTGTCTTGCCAGTTATCAGGTATGTTGATGCCAGGCTGAGGACACAAGGGGCAAAACCAAGCCAGATCACCCTTGCCAGGTTTCTCCCTAGTGTCATGGCCAAATCCAAAGCATTTTCAGCTCATTAAGTCTCTCCATAGACGCGACACCCTCATGAGTTCTCGATATCGATTCTAGCCAGCAAAGACATTTGATACGGTCAGTCCAACTGTTGAAAAGAATAACTATATGCTCTCACAGGAACAGTACCCGGGAATGAGTGATTGGTCATACGTCGAATTTTCTCAAAGAAGCTTGATGCTGAAGTCTTGCACTCCAGCGCATCAATTAGAAAATGATCTAAGACTTCAAAAGTGAAGGCAGTTCGAGGTCGAGTGATGCTTGCAGGAAATAACCTGGCCTTCAGCAACTGCAGATGCTGCTGATGCTTAGACCCAGGGCAACCACACCAAACAACATTGTGCAAAAACACTCCAGTTGAATGTATGATGGTCAGGGTGGATGTTGTAGTTGAACTGGAAAATGTCTCCATTGGCACAGACCCAGCCTCTGCATCCAATGGCACATCCTCCCATGCCTGTGGGTCTTCAGAAAATGGACACGGTTGCCCCCCATGGCCCATATACCAGACAATACCCAATTCTTCGAGCGACTTGTCTTCAAAGCATTTTCCAGTCCACTCTTGAACCTTGTGAAAGGGCAAACACTGGTGGGTTTTGACAATGCAAGGACGACACAACTGTCTGATCCCCGCTGCATGTCAAACAATGGAATTTCCCTTCACCAATCTGACAAGACTGGCACTCCAAGACATCAGAGGGCTTCTCCAAGTCAAGGAGGATATCGAGGTATGAGTCTCGGAAAGGCAGATATTCTTGAATAAAGTCGTTCTGAGTCTAGTTCAATTAATCTTGATTGAGTATAGAATTAAATTGCTATGCATCAATCTGGTCACCTTGGTTTTTCTTGATTGGTTCTCTGTATATGAAATAAAGTCACCGAGGACTTCTCTATCAAATTCCTCCTGAATGCTTGACAACCCTTGAGTTTCCTCTCTAACCCGTTTACAAGGGCTAGAGGAAGGAGATGGTGTTGGGGCAGTGTCGTAGAGGGCATCGGCACAAGATTCCACCCAGGTCATCTTCCTTTTCTTTCCAATGACTTGTTTGTGAGACACATAGTCGACATCTAGGTCCTTGCCTTTGGATAATCGACCTCTTCCTTTGAAGGAAAATGTAGCTGCCTTGAGGCGAGTTTTTTTTTGGGGAGACATACTGTTACTAAGGCAAAAGAGGATGTCCTTAATATTTTGATTGTAATTGACAAAATCATTCATAGAAATCGCTAAACTACCTCATTTCGATCTAGTACGAATGCTCAAACACCTGACTTATCCCTTCACCCCCCTCCCCCCCACCCCCCCTCCTAGATGACATTTCGGACTTTGCTCTCTTTTGGTTTGCCTTCCCACCATCTGCAAAAAAAAGTCCTGTGTTGGAAATGCTGGTCTTGGCACCCCCACTCTAGAATGAACTTTATCTTTCATGAAATGGGCAATGACAAGCCTTTCTCCTTTAATCCATGGGCCAATAGAATGCTCCAGAACCTTCCCTGAAATGAAGACCATGGTCCCAGGGTGATAATCCAGCTCCGCTCCGATATCTTGTAATGTCAACTTGGCCTCATGGCCACTACCCAAACTCACTAAAAGATCAAAGAGTGAAGGTGCCCCACCAGGGTCTCTGTGAAAGAATGTGACACGGTTGGCAATTACTTCCAATCCAGAAAAGATTGAGGGCCATTGAGACACAGGCACTGCATCTGGTTTACTCGCCCCCCTGACTTGCTGTACAACTTCTGAAATAGCAGTGGAACCTGCTTCAAATAGACCAGGAGTCGAGGTGGCGGTAATTGCATTCCAAAAATATTCAGTAGTCGATAAGGCGGCGAGCCACTCTTGGACTTCTGCAGATGAGTATGAAGCAGATGTGACCAGCGGGTCTTGAATTCTCTGCAAAAATGAGCAAGAACTGGCTAGATGTTGTTGATTAGACAAATACCTCATGTCTTTGCATAAAATATGCCGGAGATACTGTAACTCTTCCAGCTCCAAAAATTCCCCCTCCCTCAGGCACAACAAAGCCTTGAGATCGCCAAGATGGTTTTGAGGCCGATGAAGTCGGAACAGTTCTAAGAAGCATATTTCGCAAACCCTTAGTGGCTGTGTTCACATAGTCCTACAAAATGAATTAATGTTACAAGAGGGAATCCCCATCAAATAGCGGACTTACAACTTGAGATCTTGACAAGATACCAGGCAAGCACACCATCATTATTTTACCATGTCTGTCCACAATGGTTGCTGGTGCAGACATTTTGCCTATTGCTGCTGGTGGGAAGTATTTCTGTAGCCGTTCTATTTCTGGGGAGGGTGAACCGTCTGCCTTGGGTGGAGAGCACTTTGCCATTTCGGCATATCTCTCGACATCCCAGTCTACATAATCTGCCACTCAGATCAAAACCCCAGTAATATGGTTATTACGTATGTAACTCACAAGGGTTTACCATTGCATAAGCAATTGTGAGCACTGCTCGGTTTATTTCATATTCGGATATTGAGGAAGGACACTTTGATGGGGCATCAGCTGTTGCCAAGCAACTGTTCAGTTGCACTCCAATTCTCAACCTGAACAGGTTAGCGAGTCAGAACATAATGTTAAATGATGAACTGTCATACCTTGCCTTGTGTAGAAGGTGAGATTGTACTTTCCCCTCCTTGAAAACACTTGTGTTTGCAGAATCCCTCATAATTTGAGTGATCTGACCAGTCAGTGCAGCCCTTAGCTTTGTTGTTTCACTTCTTGAGTTGTCCATGTGAGGGAGAGAGAAAATATAAACCGACTGAAACAAAGCAAAAATTGTCGTCAGAATTCCCACACTGTCAATTAGTCCCAATTTAGGTACATTGTGAGTTGTAGGTACCCTGTTATCACTCCGACCTTACTCGGTTCCTGCAGACCCTGAACCAACAAAGTCCGAACACCCTCATGGCATTCACACCAATCGGACCCCCAGACACTTACCGAGACATTTGGTTCCACTTAACGTTGACGGCATCACCAACAATATATAAGCCTTAAGACATCCTCACTACCCACATCCTTTCTTTCCCTTCTCGTTCCTCACTTCGTTCTCCTTGCTCCATTCTTCGTTCTTCTACCTTCTCTTCTACCTTCTCTTCTACCTTTGTTGTTTCACTCACTCTGTATCTCACTTCTCTCCCTGTTCTGATACACTGGTTGCCAGTGAATCTGAGTATCAAGTTGATTGACTTACATTTTGTCTTGTTTCGTTTTTCAGCCTATATTTTCGCTGATTTGCTAATGTGGCACTTTCTTCATACTTAGACTTCGAAAGATACATGTAACCTTGGATTTTTTTGTTTTGTGTACACTATTTATGTGTATGTTATATAGTGTACATGAAATAAATTCAGTTTTCTACTAGAAAATGTGATGACTGACAATGAATGGTAGTTTGACATATCAGAAGTGATGTGTCAAGATTGAATGAAGGTTCTCCAACCTCGTATATAAGGGCTACCTTCCTCCATGGCACCCCATCAGTATATGTGCCCTCAACCCACTTGGGATGAACCCTCGTCGACAACCATCACACTTCTCAACTAGACCGTCCGCGTCAAACTCGTCGATACCCATACCAGAGGCAAGTGCATACAGGTGCCCTTACTCACTAGCAGACAAGACGGGGGCTTGCTGGACAACGTGCATAGCGGGAAGATCTTCTAAGTATAAGTAGAATAGTCAAATTAGTGGTAGACACTAAGTAGTTGAAGAAAAAAAAACCATAATGACGACGCCGACTACTGTTAATATGGCTAGGAATGACTGAGATAACGCGAGGCCTCTGTAGAAGATAGATGGACGAGTGAGTACCAAGGTAGTCCACAAAGTATGGGGCGATTTCAGCATAACCGAGAGGTGTTCTTGCCAGGCGAAGTTCGAACTTCATTGTCAAGGCCGCGATGTCGAGCACAATACCGGACGCTAGATATAAGAGATGAGCATGTCGGCACAACTCAGAAAATAAAACATACCAGGCCAATCCTCGTAAGCTGAAAGAAATTGTGCAGTGTGACGTGTTTCATTCAGATTGAAAGTCAAGTGGAGAAAATCAATAGAGAAAGGCTCAAAACTCACTAGCGAAACCACACCTGTTGCGGAAAGAGCAGACGGCTGTGGTGAATCCCATTGACGTCACCACAAAACGAATGGGAGTCGGACGCTCCTCCACGACACCACAAAAGCATTCCCAGAAAGTGCGCCGACGGTGCAAAAAGCTAGCGATACCTGAAGGCACTTACTTAGACACATGGGGTGATGAGTGGAATGGGCAGTGTGGTGTCGCGAAGGGAAAAGTGATCTGAAAAGTCAAAGTCAAAGTCAACATTGGGAGTTTAGTTAGAATGGGACTGGAAGTACGCAGTACTGCACATCGAGTCTCAAATGTTACTGATTGGCACTTTCAGCACACCAAATGGCGCACTTGACGAGGCAGAGAGTTGTCGAAGCTTGCCTTCTTGGAGTAGTAGTAGTAAGTAGTAGTGATGGTGGCAGGTACTGCTAGTGAACTTGTGCGTTGCATGCAAAACAAAGTGTTTTGATGGTGTTTCACATCGGTTACTTTTATTTTGTGTGCTTCAAGTTGAATCAACCAAGCTTCAATTTCATAAAGCATCTTTGCATTTGATTTTTCAGTTGCTTTGTCCATTTGATATGATTCTAAAGCTATTTACATGATCTCTGTAGATTTTACACTTGCAGTTCTCACTGAGAACATTGATGTTGAGTTCATTTTCCACTGGCGCAGCTAGTGTACCAAGAAAACGCACACGGTCACGTGACTTTTTCCACTAGCAACAATTTGCATCATTTTGGCATACTATTCAAAGAAATAGTGCGAAGTACACAAGCAAATATTTTACTACAAATTTAATACGAAAATTGAAAGTTGAAGTCAAAGGCAAGCTGTGAGACTTTGATGAGGGAGCCCTCCTCACCAAAGCCTCACGCTCGAAGAGAATACTAAGTAGTAAAATTTGTAATATATGTCCTACAACTGTGTTAGACAGATGTTTATTAGAAAAACAACGCTTACCACAACCGCAACAAACTAACCCTCAGAGCTAAGACGCAAGAAGCAGGAGGACGCTTACCACAACCGCCAACAAACTAACCCTCAGAGCTAAGACGCCAAGAAGCAGGAGGCTGCCAGTACTACACAACTGCCAACAAACCCAAGAACAAGCGCTGAAACTGAAAAACAGGAAGTCACGTGACCAAACACCCACCCCAAGACCACACGAGAAGCCAAGAAGAGCGCACACCACACACCGCCAACAAACCAAGCCCAAGACCAGTGCTGACTGAATTGAAAAAGACGGAGTCAGTGATAACCCCAAGACCCCAAGATAAGCAAGGGGCGCGGTGCCCACCAATACTGCCAACAAACATAATCCCCCACGACTACAACAGACATATAAGCAGGGGGCGCAGTGCCACACAACCGCCAGAAAAATCAAGACATGAGCTGAAAAGAAGACTAAGTCAGTAATAAACCCCCAGACCCAAGATAAGCAGGGGGCGCAGTGCCACACAACCGCCACAAAACTAACCCCCAAGACCCAAGGGAGCACTACAGACAGAGGCGCTGAAATGAAAGGTAGTCAGCACCAAAGAACAAATGTATAGAGTACTTCCCATAGGCACCGCCAAAACACCTTGATGAAAATAAACATAGAAAGAAAATTAGTAAATGAGTGAATAGAGAATAAGCACTCACCATTAATGTAAGGCGACTTCAGTGCATTGCCTTTAGATCCTTGCAGCTGCAGTCTGCAAAGACCTAAAGGGTACACCAGAAAGCACCCTTGAGAATGATTGATGGGAGTGGAAGTGATGGAGGTAATGGGTGAAGAAGAAAATGAACATGAAGGTAATGGGCGAAGAAAATGAACCGTGGGAATTGAAGTTGGTGTTGATATGACGTGTGTACATTTGTCCTTGTTTGGCACTTGGTATTAATTCAACTGCGTGTCTTTATTTGGCTTACCAACCAGTTTGTATTTTGGTTTATTTGTACTACATGCGGAAAATGTGTGTAAGTCTTTCTCTGTCTTTGCTTGTGACACTCATCCTCTTTCCTCAGCAATGACGCGCACCAAGCAAACCTGCAAGAAGTCAACTGGAGGCTCCGCCAAGCGTATAACCATCGACTATGCGCCTTTGCTCGACTTTGATTCTTTGATCGGCGTGGATCTCGACTCTGATCTGGCGACGGAGGAGACAGGTTTCGGATGAGGAGACGGGAGGAGATGAGGTGGACGAGACGGATGAAGTGGATGGGATGGTAGCTTGTGAGGTGCAGTCAGGTCACAATGAGGTAAGTACTGACCCCATATCTTGTAAATAACTAATCCGCGTGTTTTACAGTGGTGTATTGTCTGCCGCGATGGTTCAAGTGACCACGAGTTTCTGTACTTGTGTGACCTTTGTCCCTGCACAATGTGCTCTCGCTGCATCGACATTCCCATCGCTCACGCCAACGCTGTCAACTGCGACGACGTCACATTCACTTGTATATCTTGCCACTTGGCAGCACAAGACCCTCACGCAGAAGAAACACGCACCGCCTACTTTGTAAGTCCTTTTTTCTTCTGTAGTTGTGTCTTAACATGCTATGTAGGGATTTTACAGGAACAATTTGCCGGTTTTGCCCACCTTCCTCCCAATCCACAGTACGCTGGAAGTATCTCTGCAATCACAGATTTCTTCCACGCCTGTGATATTAATCCACCTCACGCTTGTCGACTTCGAAACTTCCGGTGGACCTTTCGACCTCATGTTCCGGTTCCTCTCCCCCTACTTTCCACGCGGAGGTATCGCTTTCCACGAACTCATCTTCGACGTCGGCTCCAAGTTAAAGAGCAACCGGTACCAAGTCAAGGTGGGCGAATTGGTCCATAGCCTAATGGCTCAGCGCCACTGGCCCCGCATTGTGTTCGCAATCTCCAATCATACTGACGATGCTCTCGGAGACCCATTCCTGGGCTATGAGACGAAAGAACAAATTGTATGTGTCTGGCCTGAGTCGACAGTGTGAGTAGTGTCTTTTATGACATGCCGTTTGCTCACCGTTCTACATACAGTTTTTGGACATCATCCTCACACCATGGCAGCCACTCATCAAATCTGCCAAAGACTCTTACCTATGGTTTTTGTCTTGTGGCGCTCTGATTAACAATGAAGAGTCCTTTTCGTCCTTGCAAACGGCCGTCCTTCAGTAAGTACCACTATCATCCTGCACTTCTGCAAAGCCTGACCTGGTGCATACTGCCAGTCATCACATTACAGCTACCATCTGCTTCAACGCCATCCGTTTCCAGCCAACCTTTGCGGCTCCTCTTCTTCTAGCGTTTGCAGAACTCGTCCTGACTGAATGTCTGCCTATTCACGAAGTTTTTCCGGACATGCTTATGCAGTCCTATAAACTTGGCAGACACACTGATGTGTTCTTATTGATGACTAATGCTGGTCGCGCCTTGGACATCACTAGATTTGCATGGACGCATTGCAAGGAACGCCCTTGGGGCCACCATCTTCCACTCCAATGCCCTCAGTGTGGATGGGCTAATTCTTGGCATTCAGCCAACCACAAGAAGACCTACTCATTTGAATGCATGAACTCAAAGTGCAGGAAAGGGTATTTCTTCAGCCCCCCAGAGAACTCTGTGATCCTATCTCATGCCAGAAAGAGTGGTTCCTGCTGGATTGCAGTTGGTGTGAAGGCCAACCTTCTTGTGTTGGGTTGAATTTCATCGCATTTTTTTTACTTTTTACCCATGTTAGATTTGCTTTTACATGTTTTGGATTACATGGTATATAGTTGCTTGTTCTCATGACCTTGAATATCAGTTGTTTGCCTTAGCCCTTGACGACTTCAAAATTTAAGTGGTTCAAACACGGTCACATGATTAAATCACGCGCCGAATATGATCACGTGAACTGATTGTTGATTGTTGAAAATAATCTTAATATGGTCAAATGATTAATGTTACAGTGCCTAAATATGGGATTCAAATCAGTTTGTCGGCCAGCCGCCCTCCTACCTGCAAGTACTTCGTCAGCTCTATCAAATTTTGCAGCCTGTTTTTTTGACTGAACTACAATGTCTTCTGACTGGACAACTCGCTTTGAATATATTCTTGATCATTATCATCAAGATGTTGTGACTGCAGAATCACCGCAGGCTCTCAAACGTATGGTGAAGAAAATTCGTAAGGCTATACTGGAAGCCCAAAAGGAACTTGAAGACGAAGACGTGCCCTTGCCTACTTCTTTGAAAAAGGTAACAAAATTTTAATTTTGTATGTAGATCCATTTGATTGATGGGTGAATGCTACATACAGGAAATAAAACAATACTGTGCCCAAATCATCGCCTACAAGGAAGAGGCCGAGGAACGAGAGGCTGCAAGTTGTCCAAGAGAAGCATCCTTCTACAAGAAATCACTTACCGAATGGGGTGTCACACAGAAATTGTTCAAGGAAGAAATGGACGCGTTTGACAAGGCTGAGCAGCGAAGGAAAGGCCTGGAACAGTCAATAAAGTATCAGGACAGGCCATGTCAGGGAATGGTTTGACAACATGTCGCCTTCACAACAGAAGGAGGTCAAGTTCACGATGACAAAATGGAATAGGGAGGGGGCACCAGAAGAAACTCAAGCAGTGTAAGTTTGACTTAAAATTTAATATTGATCTCGTCTAAGATCTTCCTTAAGGTATCGGAAGAACAACCTCAAGAAAACACTTGAAGACTTTTCAGAGCAAATCCGACGTACTATGGGTTGTCGAGTGGTGATGTTCGTGAGTCACAAGAAAAAAGCTAGGCAGAAACTGTCTGTCAGTCTGTAAGTGATTGATCTGTCGTCATTCTCAAGGCTAACTAGACTAACTAATGACTATGTCTCAGACATGAAACCAACCCTCGAAATGTCAAGAAGAGGTTCTCTGTCAGCTCCAATGGGATCAAGGAGTGGACTGCAACTGGATATCAATCCTTTGCAGAATGGTCAAAGACCGAATTTTGTATGTGGCTAATTGGAATTTGAATCTTGCATGGGCACTAACACTAATTATTCACTCAAACTAATAGATCCTTCAGATGATCAGGACCTCGAGGGTTCAGACAATGAGGATGCTGGCAATGAACCTGCTACACCCGAAATTATCCTAGATGACGACGGATATGCCAAACTTCCTAGTCGTGATGGTCTTGGCCTTAAGGGCCAACACGAATTGATTAGAAGTATATTTCATGCTTCGTATAGTAAGTTCTTATGTCTTCATATTTGTGTAGCATTTGATTGATGCTTTGGTTTGTAGAAGTTTGCACTGGGGGCTCTAGACCTGTGCCTTGGGGTGTGATAACTGCCGCCTCATCCAATTATTTGGAACATGGTTCTGTTCCCACTGCATTTGTGGTCAAAGACCCTTCTCATATGAAGACTGAGGAGGTAAATCGTCTATGGAACCATTGGGAACAACGTTCGGCTGCAAACAAGAAGCTAGTCATTTTTATCAAAGCCAAGGATGCTGATGTACGTGCAAATGTAAGGAATGAAGAAAGAAAGAAGAAGTCCAAGGAGAAAAGAGTACACTTTCTTGACTCAGACAAAGAAGACAGAGACCGGCTTCCTTCCTTGAACAGCTCTGATTTCACAGAACATAGATCCCAGCCGGCCGACACAACCCCAGACGATGTTTCAATCAATGATCGATATACATTCCTAGAATCTCTAAGCAAGAATGACAACTACCTGGAGCTTGTAGATGCCATTAAGGATCTGGCAATCTTAGCCAATCAGAAGGTCAGTATAACTTTGCATGTATTTTAATCTCATAGCTCATAGTTCATCCAATAGCCAACTTCAGAGCAGAATGCAGATTTGCCTATCTGGGCTGACTGGTCTTGGGGAGGATCATATCTTCCTGAGGACGTGCATGTGTCATATGACACTTTGAAGGCCAGCTGGGATAAGCTGCGAACATCTCCAATCTTAGGGGCAGCATCTGCCATGCCAGTGATTCTAGGAATTGGGCTCCTCTATAGGGAGTCTAAACGAGTCATAGAGTTTGAGGAAGATGAGGCTGACCCCAATACGCCTTTCTACCTACCTGGTTCTGCTTTCGATCTACAATTCTTGGTTTCTCTCGATCACGTTGTCCAGGAGGTCTTGTGCACAGTTGTCGAGCACATAGAGAAGCTGACAAAAGAGGCACTTGGTAAGGACAACAACATGGAGGATGAAGATGAAGTTGGAAACAAGGTGATGGAGGAGGAAGTTGTTGTCACAAAGGAGAAGGAGAAGGAGGAGCAGGAGGAGCAGGAGGAGCAGGAGCAGGAGCAGGAGCAGGATGAAGTTGGAGAGGGGGTGCAGAAAGGGAGGAAGAGAAGAATGCCCCAAGCTTCGACCAGTGAGTCTAAGAAGCCTAGGATTGAGCCTGAAGTCCATAGATCAGGCAGGACGAGGCAACTTTCTAAGAGAGCCCAGAACTGATCTTATATCCTCCTTTGTCTTCATTGCTGATCAATTTTGTACAATAACTATATCTACTTGTCAAGACTTGGGCGAGAATTGAACCATCAGTTGATGAGGTATTCATACCAGGCAGCCTAGCTCCTACATATGTAGATGAAAAAAGGCCAGTCTACTAATGAAAAGTGATAATTTAAGAGCTCTACACTGGCTAGCCATACTCTTACATACATAGACCCAAGCTGGCCGGTTTGCTAGTGAAATATTAGTGAACCGGCCAGCCATGCTCTCACATACGTAGACCCAAGCTGGCCAGTTTGCTAATATTTCACTAGCAAACCGGCCAGCCATGCTCTTACATACGGAGACACAAGCTGGCCGGTTTGCTAGTGAAATATTAGCAAACTGGCCAGCCATGCTCTTACATATGTAGCCCCAAGCTGGAAATATTAGCAAACCGGCCAGCTTGGGGCTACATATGTAAGAGCATGGCTGGCCAGTTTGCTAATATTTCACTAGCAAACTGGCCAGCTTGGGTCTACGTATGTGAGAGCATGGCTGACCAGTTTGCCAATACTTCACTAGCAAGCCAGCCAGCTTGTGTCTACGTTTGTAAGGGCATGGCTGGCCAGTTTGCTAATATTGCACTAGCAAACCGGCCAGCTTGTGTCTACGTTTGTAAGAGCATGGCTGGCCAGTTTGCTAATATTGCACTAGCAAACCGGCCAGCTTAAGTCTATGTATGTAAGAGCATGGCTGGCCAGTGTAGAGCTCTTAAATTATCACTTTTCATTAGTATACTGGCCTTTTTTCGTCTACATATGTAGGAGCTAGGCTGCCTGGTATGCATACCTCATCAACTGATGGTTCAATTCTCGCCCAAGTCTTGACAAGTTAATATAATTATTGTACAAAATTGATCAGCAATAAGCTGGCCGGTTTGCTAATATTTCACTAGCAAACCGGCCAGCCATGCTCTTACATATGGAGACACAAGCTGGCCAGTTTGCTAGTGAAATATTAGCAAACTGGCCAGCCATGCTCTTACATACACAGACCCAAGCTGGTCGGTTTGCTAATATTTCACTAGCAAACCAGCCAGCCATGCTCTTACATACGCAGACCCAAGCTGGTCGGTTTGCTAATATTTCACTAGCAAACCGGCCAGCCATGCTCTTACATACGCAGACCCAAGCTGGTCAGTTTGCTAATATTTCACTAGCAAACCGACCAGCCATGCCCTTACATACGTAGCCCCAAGCTGGCCAGTTTGCTAGTGAAATATTAGCAAACTGGCCAGCCATGCTCTTACACATGTAGACTTAAGCTGGCCGGTTTACTAATGACTACATATACCAGCCAGCTTGATCCTATGGTTAGTACACTCAATGGCCAGTATATTGACTTAAGGACTACAAACTGGCCAGCCATGCTCCTACATATGTAGACCCACGCTGGCCGGTTTGCTAGTGAAGTATTAGCAGACCGTCCAGCCATGGGTCTACTTACTGCAGAGCCTCGCTGGCCAGTATTGACTTAAGAACTCCAAACTGGCCAGCTGAGCTCCTACACATGTAGATACAAGCTGGCCGGTCTACTAATGAAATCAGACTGTAGTAGATATATCTTACATATACCAGCCAGCTTGATCCTATGGCTAGTATATGTCATATGATATCTCGGTCAGCACTCATCCTACATACAGGACAAAAGAGATGGTTATATACTATACACCGGCCAGTACCTATCCTACATGAAATAATGATACTCAAGTGATAATGAGATAGTACACCGGCCAGCACTTACTGTAGAGATACGACACTAGGTTCGTCACGTGCAGCCCGTGACAATGTCACGCTTAGTGTTACAGGTTCGAATGTCCAGGTGACCTGTGACCTTACCCAAATAGATTCGCCTGCGGATCGGACGTGGTGCTTCGCCGCTCGCAACGCCATTTGCAACCATTTGACATGCTGCTTCGTGATTCAAGCAACTTGCTTCAGTCTGTCGTGGATTCGCCTCACATAGCGCTGAATGGTAACGAGTGGAATTGGAGACTCCGTGGTCTTAAAGCCTGCCAGGTGAGTCTACCAGTATGATCCGTTTTCAAGCGCCCGTCATGCCATCACAAACTGATATGTTTATTGCTTCAGAGTGGCTCTCATGTGGTCGTGTTTTTGACCAGAGCAAACTGCCGCCTTCTGTTCGACGTGAGATCACACGGTTACTCAGGATCCCAACTTCAATGCAACCAACCATCCCATCTCGGACTCTGCCTGTTGCGCAGCTACTCGACATCAATATTTGCGCATCGCTGGACTGTGATCTTAGCCCAGACACCATCATTTTCTCAACAAACCCCCCTCTCCTCAGCCTTCCCAACGATTTCACGGCATGGTCAATTCCCCCGCTCCGTTGCGTCACTCAGCTCCTCGATCAGTTCGGTCAGGCTTGGTTTAATGGTCACACTTCAGTCATCCATCCACTTTCCCCAACATTTCACCTTCCGTTCTGGGTTCTTTCATACTGGAGGGACATCTCATGTGCCCTGGAGGCTCGTCTCACCTGGATATTGGCCCATGATTGGGTTCTTCAGAGGCTTGAGGATGAAGAGGACACAGGCCGTGGTGCTTCCGAGTCAGTAGTTGTAGACGAGGTTCTAGATTCGCTTGAGCGTTTGCCATGGGATGTTGACTTGAAGGGGTTTGGTGCTCAGACCAGTCTTCGCACACCAGAGCTTCTCCCTCTACTTGCTGACACGATGGTCAATGGTCGTGTACTTGATGCTCTTATTGCCGCTATCAATGATCGTGTGGATGAACACAATGATACTGCTGTCGAGACACTTGATTTTTCAAATATATTGTTCCTGGGCGACACGCGGTGGTCAAAGTATCATTTCGACAAAGCCTTTACTCGGCTGCATTACCTCGGAGACTTGCTTCACGATGGCACCATACAGCGCGTCATTTTCCCTGTCAATGTTGCCAATGTCCATTGGGCCATCATTAGCATGGATGCTAGCACACGGATGATCTTGTACGGCGACTCACTTGGATGGTCCATGCCTAGTTCATATGTTGATGCTATCCACCGCTGGTTGAAAAACCACGGTTTCGCACCATTCGGCAAAGGATCCTTGTCTCATGGGGAGCAGACAGACTCCTTTTCATGTGCAATCGCGGCTCTCAATACCATCAAGTACGCTGTCTTCAGACACCACCCGCTGTTTACCGATGACTCGAAATATCGTCTTCGCATGGAGGAGTTTTTGATGTTGACAAAGAGCCACTTCGAGGTTCGTTTTTACTGTGTTTTTACGACTCGAAAAACTCATTTCCTCATAACAGTCTGAGGAATTACTTTCTGAGTCTTTGGAGAGCTCTTTTGCAGATGACACTAGCGATTTCGGCGTTGAATTTTCATCATGTCCTCCATCATATCCCAGTCCGGTACCAGCAACAAGCCCCTCCCCTCCGCCGACAACATCTAGCTCGGAACGTGTTTCCTTGAATCTTAGGGTTCGCGAAGAGGAAAAATCTGTTGGTTTGTTCAAGTACTTTCCAACTACGACACGCGAGGAGCATCTCAAATCAGCATGGACTCCTTTCTCTTGGGAGCTAGAGAGTCGTGAGCGGGATGCCCATAGGGTTCGTGTTGAAGGAGTAGAAAGAGATATACGCCGACGTGAGGGAAATAGGGAGCGGAAACAAATCCAACGTGCCCGTGAAAAGGCTATGAAGAAGGCCACTACAAATCACGCATCCGACATCGCTCCTGCCCTCCCAATGACAGATCTTGCTGAGGTGTCTCGCCCATATCACGAGATTTGAAGAGATGCGAGGGCGCATAAACCTAGTGTTCAACCTGGATGCAAAAGGAAGCATGAGGACACTGTTGCAGTTCGTGTCAACTGGCAACACCCCTTGTTATGGGTTACTATTGCTGAAGCTGCTGTTCGAGTGGGGATTGGCATGTCTCCCATAGAGATTGTGCGCGATCTTCAGCAGAGGGACTTAGCACGATTCCGGACATTGACTCCGCAGGTAGTTGGAACATGGATCGACCGCTCTGGTGACAAAGCTGTTTGGAGCGCAGCAACTCTTGCTTGTGTTCAGCGACGCAGCCTGCCCATGTACCAAAACACACGGAAACACATTCTATCCTCCTATCCCAACGTGGTCAAATTGATCATCGATGACCTTCAGTCTCTCCGTCTAGTTGGTGTTGCATTGGACACTCTCCGCTGCCGTGGTATTATCCTTGCACGCCTGCAACACTCTGTTCCTGATATTTTCGAGCATGTCGCCAAGGACGGTTCTTGCTTCCGCTGCACGGAGAGTTGGGTGAAGGAGTTTCTCACTGAGCATCTCAATTGGAGCTTCCACAGGGCAACACGTGCAGCACAAAAAACACCACCAAATGTTGATCAACTTCTCCTTGATCAGTTCCTCCGTTTAACGCTCACAATTCGTGACTGCGCAATCTTCGATGCTGCATTCATCGTCAATATCGACCAGACGAATATTGTCTATCAGCCAGCAAACACCTCAACTTTTGAAACAATTGGCTCGAAGCAAGTCTCCGTGATCGGGCAGGAAGAAAAACGAGCATTCACTGTCGTCAACGGAATATCTGCCGGAGGTCATGCCCTCCCCTTGCAACTGATCTACGAGGGGAAAACTTCACGCTCTATTCCTTCAAAGTCTACTCCGCAATACAAGGAAGCGATGGAACTCAAGTTCAAAATCTCGTACTCAAGTACACACACTTACTGGTCAACATTTCCCCTCATGTGCGAGTATGTTAACGACATTCTGGTGCCTTACTGGGAGGAGCAGAAAGTGTTACTCAATGCACCGGCTGACCAGGAGTGTATTTTGCACCTCGACGTGTGGAGTGTGCACAGATCAATTCAATTTCGCATGTGGATGGATATGACCTACCCTTGGATCAAATACTGCTTTGTCCCTGGGGGCTGCACTGGTGTTGGTCAGCCATGTGACATCGGTATTCAACGA